TTGATTCAGCTTCTTCCGTACTGTCAGAAGTTCTTCTGTCTCACTAACGGGTTCAATCCGGATGTTGGAAGAGAAAGTTCCTCACGAATTCACAACCTGGTTTTATCTGGTCAGTGTTCCTGGCATTGACTCCTCATTGACTCTGTAATGCACTTTCATAATTAACTCTGTATTTCACTATTATTTGGGATTTGTGTCGCAGTTGTAAATTTAAAACCATCTTCCCGGAGACAAGGCAAACATTAGTGTATTACCTTGCGCCATGACTTCATCTATGTGCAGAGTATGTTCATATCATCCCAATTTAAATTTGGCTATGTCGGGCACTATCGAGCTTTCGAATTTCAAATATAAATTTTCATTTGGTTTAAACTTCGGAATACCGCTGATTTTAATTAAGGCATTGTCCGCAAATTGAGAGTAGCAATTCAGTAGGGCAGCATATCGTAGCGAAGTATGTTAAAACTTGTCATGGGAGAGAGAGAGAGAGAGAGGGGGAGATGGGGGGTTAACGTCTAAACGTCTACTCGACACAAACTAGGTCATCGGAACTAACCAATGGTTCAATTTTATTTCAGTAATTCGCAAACGCGTAGGGGTCTTTAGCAGTGGAAGGAAACCGGAGTACCCCCGGAGAAAACCCACGAGGTTGGACAGACAACCCTACTCCTTGTCACGTACAACTTGTCATGGGGGGGGGGGGTTGTTGTTTAAAACGGGATCAAATGAGTTTTTATTTTAAAATCTATAATGATATAGTAAAGGAGAAATGATGCAATTGTTGATGTCATTATTATCTTGACATTTAAAATATACCTGGTTGCCTACACCATTATATAGTTTACCTATATATAATAATAACATTGACTTTCTATTCATATTTACTACAAAAACACACAATGTGTTTACAACATGTTTGGTTATAGTACAAAATGTCTATTTTTATTAAAGTGATATCGAAACGCCTCCTCATCTTTTGTAATCGATAGCTTTAGAAAACGAGCAATTAAAGGAGCCGTCCAAGAAACCAAGAAATATGCTAATGATCAAACTGGGTAATTCAGTGTGGACGACCAGAAACCCTGTACGACATATATGAAACTTTTTGTTACTTTGTCGCATGGGGTGCTTAAAAACCATTTCCCTTGTCCTGTTCAAGTATCTGAATATGTTTGGTATTTTTTCGTCGAAGTAGGTAGGCTACACGGTTATCGCTGAAGTACAGTGTTATCAACGGGTATACTTTGAATCTTGTGGGCAAGGGCGGATTTAAAAATAAACAGCACCCTACCTACTATCCTTTGGGGTTCAATGGATGGGAAATACAATACCTCGTTTTAGACCGGAGGCTCAGCGCGGGGGGGGGGGGGCATCAAAGGGGCACAAAACCACACCCAACTTTTCTAGAGTAAAATTTTGCGTAGAATACGATGCCGAGTAGTAATCAGTCCGCCGTTGGGGCGTTTTCGAGATATTCGGGGTCAAAGGTCAAATGAGTTCATTTGCACTGAAAGTGAATGCGCAGTCATTCTTGTATTATGAAAAGAAGCTGAAAATGATCGAAAGTAATCACACTTTCAATAAAAATGTAAACTTGCTAAATTCACCTTTAGTCTTAGTGACCCTAAAGGTCAAAAGGTGAAATTTACCGTGTTTGCACTAGGAAGATTTAAAGCAATAAAATGTCAACGTAAAATATAAAAATTAAAGCGAAACCTGTTCTAATTAATAATAGGAACATTTCAAATTTATCTTTAGGTGGTCTTAGCACCGAACTTTAACTTTGGAACGTCAAAAATGATCTTGCATAACAGAACCAACACACTTTGAAACCTGTTTCAAAAATACGTAAAAACTGTCAAATCGAAATCTCGCCAATTTATTTTCACAACGATTGTTATACATAATGATACTAGTTATCTGAAAAACAATTGAATAGTTTCAGTGTTGGACTACAGCCTGCAGGCCGCGTGGATTTCCGAGAATCCCAGTCTAGGAAAACCGACGTTAATCTGTGACGGGAAAACACGCATCTGGCGACGAGATTAAAAGTTTGCAAACTTTTTATGAGTTTTTATGAATTTCGTCGGAACATGGACGCAGATAAAACCGACGAATGCATTGTACATAGTAGTTCACAGGATATATATGTCGTATTGGTAAATGTTAGCGGGGAAAATTTTGGCAGGCTTTGTGACGCTGCCTGCAGGCTGGAGTCCAGCCATGGAACTATTTAATTGCTTTTTTCAGACAACTAGTATCATTATGTATAGCATTCGTTATAAAACTAATTCGGAGAGATTTTGATTTAAAAGTTTTTACGTATTTTTGAAACAGGCTCCGAAACGTTTTGGTTCTGATATGCAAGATCATTTTCGACGTTCCAAAGTAAAAGTTTGGTGCTAAGACCACCTAAAGATAAATTTTAAATGTTCCTATTATTAATTAGAACAGGTTTCGCTTTAGTTTTTATATTTTACGCCGACATTTATTACTTTAAATCTTCCTAGTGCTAAAACGGAAAATGTGACCTTTTGACCCCAGATCCAGCGCCCCCTCTGAAAAGATATATTGGAAAGGGGTAGGACCGTTTTGGTCCCCAAGTCATCCAGCCCGTCAACTCACATAAATCAACATTCGTTACAAAGGCACGTGATACAGGGGAAATAACTCTTTTTCAGGACTAAACGGAATAAGACTAGTGTTTATTATGGCTCTCACATTGGGAGATAACATTTAAATGGCTTGTATGTTGACTGTCGTGGCGTGCATATCTCTTGGTAAGGAAAGTTGTAGGTACCATCACTGATGTAAATCATTGGACAGGTCAGGGTCAACCATGTATCAGATTCCATGCAGTGTTACATAATCAGATTATCTGAACTTAATTGTCCTATGTATATACAGTTATGTGGGAGATACTTTAAAATTCACAGGCACTGCATGTTTCAACATCTTAGATTTGACCACAATTTGGGTCTAGAAACTGCGTTAACATAGAAAACTGTGTGGTTTTCGACGAAAGTATTAAAAAGTCTAATATTACTGTTTTGAGTATTTTCTTGTTTGATTTATATTGAATTTATCTCATCTTTTTACAGAATGCTTTTATGTTCAAAAATAAAAATGTTCTGTAGAATTCAAAATTCATGTGCTTTTAAATTTCAGTCTGAAATTCCGCAGTTTGGTAATGTATTATTTGTTTGCAGAATGTCCCACTGCTCATCTATTCATAATATACATTATGTTTGTTTATTAGATAACAACAGATATGTTCAGACAGCAGCAAGATGTGAGGTGTATAGGACCAAGACTAGTAATTATTTCCCCTTATTTCATGATGGTTACGAATGTAGTGCGAGTTATAAATAGGCAATTTTTCCCTTAATTTTTTTCTCCCATCTTCCAGCATTTTTGATTGACATTTAGGTCTAGAATTGGAGAAAAGTGATCAATTTCCAATTTCATAGCAGTTGTTGGTAATACTGATGATATTATGTAACGGCGGGTGGATAGGGGGTGTAAAGTGTCTTTCTGCAGAGCAATCATTGTGTTGGAAGTGAGATTTTGACCCAAATAAACATCAAATCTTATCCCTGTGGCAAAAAAATCCAAACGGTCAACCCTCTACAAAATTAGGATGAGGAGTTTTCAAATTCGGTCTTCTATGCCTATAAAGATTGGAACCAACGGAATGTTGAGCAAAACGCTTCAGCCTGTGGTGTTACAGCCATTTAACATTGAAGTCAATGATTAAATAATTGCTACTCTGAGACCAAACTTGGGGAGTTGTACGGTATCAGACAAGTAATTTTCAATGTTAAATATACGCCATTCGTCATACCCCCCGCAGTGTTTCGTTTGATTAGAGCTAATCCCACTAAACACTGCTTTAATGGAAGCAAATTTCTGTTCCAAATTATGACTGGTCAATAGTCCGATTAACAACCAATAGCTAACCGCGTAATAATTTGATCACGCTTTAAACATAGCTCCACATTGGACCAAATAATATGTTTACATAATGTTACGTCATGACTCACGATGTTATTATTCCCAATTAACCAGTGCATAGCAGAATATTGCAGAAAAAACTAATTGTATCAACATTGATACAATGTAAACAAAACTGTATGGAGACGAATGGGGCTTTAAACGTTTTTTAATACCTTAAATCACTGTTCAAAGTTTTAGGGAAGACCTCAGATTAAACGAAGGGCTGTCATGTTGCTGTACTTCGGATATATTTGATTGAAGGGAAAGAATAGACACACTCCCTCAAAAGCTCAAGTATCAGAAGCCAATCCAGCAATGGGCAAAGAGGGATTTCTCGGGCCATTGCTTCAGGAATATGACATTCCTTGGCCTTAAAGATTTGTTTGAACTTCCCAATGATCGTACTCTTTATAACCCCAAAAAGACAAACATGCCACAATCAACTGATAAAAATATCTTATATTAGTGTTTAACGTCTGCTTCCACCGAGGGTGGACAAGTCACGCAGACAAGTCTTATTTTACTATGATCAGCGCAAGGACAGGAGTGACCGGCCAGAGCGACACTCTAGACACCCCCCCCCCCCCCCACACACACACACTAATTTAAACCCTCTTCTTCGCTTCTGGACGTGAAATCCACGAAAATATTTGACAACTGGTAAACGGACAATTAAAATGTCTTTATCTGGACGATGGCTATACAGCTTTGTCTCCAAATTTTTAATTTGCAAACTGGATCAGCAGTGAATATTCGCTTGGTCACTACTATCACTGAAAGGCTAACTTCGGGCGAGTTAATTAGCTCTCAATATTAACTTTTTTCTTCTGCAAACCATTATGTCCCTTTAAATTATCAACAAAAACAAACACGTTATAAATATAAAATATCTCTTTAATCAAATTAATATTTAAATTTAATAATTAGTTAACAATCATAATATCATAACAATATTAAATAACAATATATTTAATAAATTATGTTTAAATCATTAATGTTTTGTATAAAGTATATAAGATTAATAATGTCATATAATGTTACTCTCTGTATTTTCGTGTTATTATCTTCTCCTATTAAATAAATATTCCAATAAATAGGTGTATTACAAAATAATAACAAAATGGAATGTACTCATATTTATCAACGTATTAGCTTCCAAACTAAGGTTTCGCCAATAATGTTATTACAAATATATATTTATATGACTTTAGATAAATTAAAATAAATTTAAACATATTTCTTTATTAAGTATAATTATGTCCCCACCCTATCCCTCTTCCGAAATATTATTAAACATTTTCGGGTTACTTCCTGTTATTCGGTGTAGGGATGAAACCCTTTGATTCGATCCTATAAAGGTGTGTTAATTTTGTTAATTATTATTTAATGCCCCCCCCCCCTCAACACCTAACCTCCGAACTATTATTAACAATTTTTTGACAGTTTTATTCTATTCGGTGGGGTAATGAAACGTTCTGATTTGGTCCTAATTTGCATTTGATAAATTCCTGAAGATTATGGCAATTGACACAGTTTGTGTATGATTATTAAGAAAAGTTTCATTAAAATTATATACTCGGTAGTTATTCTTAAAGGATGCACGTTAAGATCTGTGATAAATGTTAAGTGATAGATTTGCCCACGATGATGATATAATGTCAATGATTCGGGCAAAAAAGTTAGATGAAGAAAAAACAGTTATCAAAACAATTGTAAATTTTGACAAATATTTCACCGATTCGATATTTTGTAGAAAGTATTAGACAATAATATTATGCAGGTTATACCCATAAAACAATTTTACAATAAAACTGTACAGTTCAGTTGACATTAAATTTGTAGACAAGAAGTTTGTACCTCCAATTTATTCCAATATAGTGACGTTGTGTAGCCAATATTGTATATTGTTACCATTAGAAACCAAACTATTATTCATTTTATCCAGTCCCCAACTTAAATCCTATTTAATCTTATCACCCATAGCTTAGTAACCGTCCGCGGCTTGGTTCAAGAGTAAATAACGTTTGATTTCGTTAAGAATGGATTCTGGAATATTATTACCAGGGGTCAAGGTCATGTCCAGTATCGTTGTGTTGCGTTTTAAAAGTTCAAGTAACATCCGGCCACCCCGTTCACCAATGCCAGTCTCTTCCAAATCTATTGCATTAATTGTTCGGTTGTCCTTTAAACCTCTGCATAGTAAAGTTATCCCGTCATCACCAATGTTATTGAAATCCAAAGTTAACGTCTGCAATCTGCGATTCTTTTCCAAGGCTTTACTCAATCGTAACCATCCTCTCTTACCGATTTCTATGTTCGAGCTTAAACTCAACGTTTCAAGGTAGACGTTTTGTTCCAGCATCCTAGCAACGTGTTCCATTCCGTCATCGGTAAGTCCAGTATCGCCTAGATCCAGTTCCCCAAGACGACAGAATCTTGCGTTCCGTGCTGGATCGAATAAACTACTATTACGACGTTGTGGTGGGGCTTGTGGGACGCTTCCATCTTGATGAGCATGAATTTGTACGACCTGAAGTTCGGATGATTGACGTATTAGCGAATTTTTCCTTCGCTGCCTTGCATCAAGATGTATGTCAACTATGCCGTCTGCTAGAATTCGAACTCCCTCATCTCCGATTTCATTACCCTGTAAACTGAAAAAGATTGACGACATCTTATTACAATAATGATAACGCAATTGGTTATAGGCCTATAAAGAAGACCAAGGACAATACCATCGCATCAAATAGATCCGCAGGCCCCGAGTTCACAAAGCATTCTCAGACCTTGTTAAGAATTTACTCAACTTTCAAACACACAACTTTGCACATAGTTTCTTAATGATGTATTTGATACATTAAAACAACAAAAGTTTGATAAAAGGCTATATTTTAGTTAACATAAGGTGAATAATTTTGAGTGAAATATTAACTTCAGTTTAAGAATGCGTGGGTTCTGGTATTTGGCTTACAATCTGAGCAAGTAAATGAATCTTCTTTAATTTATTTAATTGTCTAAAGCGTCGACCAATCAAAACCGTTCTTTGTATCTCTCACCAAAATGACTACTAAAGCATTCAAGGTAGACATTGGTACATAAATCATCTAAGACTTTCGAGTGACAGATTAGCGACATCCTGAGATCGTAGCTAGATTCTTAGGAAACAAAATATATCCAATGATTTGTCTATAAACATTATAATCATTATTTCAAGCTTCGTTGGTAGATAAGAAAAAATAGTTATTTACAGTAAAATGTCCAGGGTTGGTTCAGCTCTCATCACCTCCACCAGAAACTCCATACTTTTACTGGTTAATTCATTTAACATGAAATTTAACATCTACTCAAAATTAAAGTTTTAAAAATAGTTTACAATATGTTAAGACACAAAATATTGTACGTAATAGAACACGATTTAACAATTCAATTATAGACGAAAACCGAGACAATATTATAGTCCGTGGAGGGATATAAAACTTTAGAATATGGCCATACAATTTTATGAAAGCAGATTAAAGTTCCCAGGGGTGTAAATGGCAACAGACTGAACCTGACTAAAGAGTGATCGGAATGTGAACAAGCTCTGTCATGACGATTCAACCGTGAAACCAGTGTCTATTCTTACGGTCAAGACAATTTCCATAGGAAATTCAAGCCAATGTCACCAAAATGGAGCGTGTGACAAAATAGTACATGGTATTAGTATACTATTCAAAAAAAGTAGGGGATATTTGATTTTTAAGTGTTATTAAAGTCACCTAATGAAACTGACGAAGAAACAAATGACAAAATGAAATGAAGTTCACATTCATCGATTTATTCCAAATGATCGTTAGACTAAGTAAGGCACAGACTGACCATTATAAGGGTAAAATGATACCCGGGGTCAAACAGCAAAGTTACCACAGCATCACAACCAAGTCAGTAACGGGTAAATCCTCCTCTGTTTGCCAAACAAGCATTGATCCGACGTGGCATACTTCTAATGAGACGTCTAAGGTCATTTTGGTCCAGATTGTCCCATTCCTGTTGCAACGCAGCAGCAAGTTCTTGGACATTGGCAGGACGTTGTTGACGTTGATGTAACCTCTGTCCAAGCATGTCCCAGACATGCTCGATGGGGGAGAGGTCGGGACTCAGTGCTGGCCAAGGTAATGTGGTGATGTTCTGTTGTTGGAGGTAACCTGTAACGATCCTGGCCCTGTGCCATCTTGCGTTGTCATCCTGGAAGATGAAACGGCGGCCATGACGTCGTGCGAACGGCACAACATGGACTGCCAAGATGTTGTCCCGGTAGTACTGGCCTGTAACACGCCCTGCAACAACATGTAAAGCCGTTCTTCCAGCAACAGTGATGCCTCCCCACACCATAACAGAACCACCCCCAAATCGATCATGTCTGATGACGTTAACGTCTTGGAAGCGCTCGTTTCGACGACGCCACACCCTCCTACGTCTGTCCAAAAAATCAACAGTGAACCTTGACTCATCTGAAAACATCACATTGCTCCAGCGTCGATTATCCCAGTGTTGACGATCCCTACACCAACGACGTCTTGCCTGAATGTGATGATCTCTCAAACAAGGGATCACGCGAGGACGTCGGGCGCGAAGGTCACCCCTATGCAGTCGATTCCGAATCGTCTGGCCACTCACTCTCACACCAGTGTCTGTTTGAAGACGAGCGCTGATCTGATTTGCTGTGATGACACGATTTCTCAAGGCCAAGGTACGGATAAATCGATCCTGGGCTTGAGTTGACGCCCTTGGTCGACCTGAGGGTGGTCTGTCCTGTACAGATTGTGTATCACGGTATCTGGACCATAGCCTGCTTATGACAGACTGAGAAATATTCATCGTCCGCGCCACAACCGCCTGTGTTGTGCCGATCTGTAGCATGCCAAGGGCACGTAACCTTTCATTTTGGGTAAGCCGACGCATATTAAAATTTGTTTTCTGGTCACTAAAACAATTAAACTGATGTTTCCACCCTGGAATTCAATGCCACAATGACTGTAACATTCAAAGTCAGAGTCGTGCAAATCTTGGGTTGGACCCCCATGAGGATCCCAAGCATCACCTGCATTCCATGCGGTAGCTATTGGTGCGTTTGGGCGTCACATGTAACTGGAAATGTTTCTTCTGTTAGGTTCTATAGTGACTTTTTTCGTAGTCATTTGCATATTTTAGTATTATGCCCCCAAAATCAAATATCCCCTACTTTTTTTGAATAGTATATTAGGTTAATCGACAAGCGCAATCCACTTATTGCCAGTTTAACCCAGATATCAAAATCCTAATCCTCGTGTCCCTGCTCCTAAATATTAGTATATTACCAGACACTGGCTAAAACTAATGCGTCACTAATCGAAAATATGAATATCGTAAAAGAGAAACTTTCATATTCGCAACGTGGCATTTACATAAAAGCAAAACTTCAACGGCGTGGATGTCACTGTAATATGATAACACGATACATTAAATTAGAATAAAGTAAGATATGACTTCTGGGAAATTATTGGTCTTCCACAGAGTCCGGTGTTAGACTCACCTAGTTTATTATAAAATGGTTAGTATTACTTACCACGGGTTCAGAAGGGGAGCAAATTAATGCATCCGATATTTTGTTCAAGTCTTCATCCTTTAAACCAGCATTATGTAGACTTAATGTTTTTAAATCTTCTCTTTCTTTTACAATATCACATATTTCTTCAATCTATGAAATAAAAAAATAATCCTTCAATGAATGAATGAATGAAATGGGGTTTAACGTCCTATTTCTCTGCACCTATACCGAGAAACAGAAGACAGGTATACGCCATACATTATGCTATGAGTATGAGTAACCAACGCCTTCAATCTTGATCATGTCTGTCATCAATTAAATTGTCATGGTTTGGTCCCATGTTTCTATGTGACAAAGGGTATGGCTCCCCTGTCTAACCCTGTGGGTTGTTTGTGGCTGCTCGAGCTTTCGGTCACAGCTTGGCAGAATCGAATTATTAAAAATAAATAATTACCCAAATGAACTATTTTGTGTTGAGTGTCCTTTAAACTCAACTTATGGATCCCGCGCCCATCTGCGGTTACTTGGGCAAATTTGAAAAAAATGATTGGAAATCATTGATGCAAAGATTAGTCGTGGACCCCTTTCCACAGAAATGTACAGAACACTGTATACACTGCTTTATCCACGACTTACCTGATGTTTCTCGAGGTATATACCATCAAGCTGTATATCGTTACTATCATCCAGAAGATGTTTTATACTCCCAGCATGTATTTTATTCGGCGCTACACCAGATTTAGATAAAAACGTTCTCACTGTAGGTTCTTCATCTTCGCCATCATCTGTAGAGAAAGATAATGAGTTTTAAAGTTTGGTTGACATTTTACCTGAGACAAACATACGACTAAATAATTTACTATCGTATAAATCTTACTTTAAAAACATAGTGAAACCTCAGTGTCTCGAACACTATAATATTATAGAAATAAAAAAGCTTCTGTATCTGACTTAGTGAGATTCGCCATCTTGAAATCGTTAGTAATGAAAACCGATGCTATTACCATTTTCTTCTGTTTCAGCATGGCCATTTGAAACCCGGTTTTCCATTGGTTCAGGAGTATTGCGAAACCTCACCGACTTCGTTTTCCCTTTCCCATTCACTTGTTTTTCTTCAGCAGTGGTTGTTGTATCGCCATTTTGATTTTCTGTCGAAGCAACAGTGTCATCCTTTGGGGGTGATCGTTTCTCCTTGTTGGCACTTTCTTCGGGATTCACAGCATCTGAGGAGGAAAGTAATTTTCTTTATTTGTTCATTTATCAACTGCATTGTGTTATAACTCGATCGATAACTTTTATTTACTAATTGTATACCTTTAAACAGACTACACTACGTAGAGCACTGATTCTCAACCAGTGTGCCGCGAGATCTTCCTGAGTGTGCCGCGAAATTTTGAACGGCACACTAAGAAACTGGGAAAAACCACGTGATCCCAATTAAGTATTTTGGTCTACTGGTAAGTTCATAGCTGTGTTTTTCTTTATTTGATTTAGTCTCTGTCTACAGTTGTATGCCGTCTGACTTACATGTTTTTATTTTGCAAAATTCAAATATTTTTCATGTATATTTAGTCAGGTGTGACGCTATTTTTCCATGTGTTCCAAAGTGTACCGTTGGGAAAAAGGTTGAGAACCACTGGGTTGGAGAATTCTACGCTCGTAGATTTAGCCAAAAGTCGATAGATGTTTCAGCTGCCGACAATTTAAAGCCTCAATCGAATGGCAATCTCTAGCGTCTCGTTATTCCAGTCTACACCGATACTATTTATTGCGCATGCTCTCCAGATAAGAATATGTCGTCACTGTTTGACGTGACTTGTGGATTATGTCTAGCCTCGTTCTTCGAGTCCCTTGTTATAAATGGCGCTGAAACGCATTATGGTACACGTTTCGTGTACCAATCGTAAAATGTTTATTTTGTCTTATATACTCTTATATACCCATTTCACTCGCAAAGAGATACATTGTCAAAAGTGAAAATGGACGTTTTTGATTTTTGTCTTAATAATGAGTAATTGCTCCACCAATCCTCAGACATTCAGCAATTCGTCGTGGTATGCTCCTAATCAACTGCCCAATCACGATTTGGGGCAATCTGGCCCATTCCCCTTGCAGTGCCACGGCCTATTCTTGGAGTGTTGTCGGTTAACGTTGACGTCGACGAAAACGTCTCCCGATGAAAATAAACGTAACACACTAAAGCAAAGATACGCTAAACAGTAAATCTTATGCAAGAACCGATAGGAAAGCTAACATGGATAGATAAACCAGCACGCGGCAGTTTTCATCAACCCTTCCTTGAAGTGTCAAATTTGACAATGAACTCCTCCCGCGTGTGTGGCGCTATTGCGTGTCACGTGTGCAGCTCAGTGGTTCTGTTGGGGCGATCAGTTCTTCATCTGTGAACAGACTCTCAAAGCATGTCAGGTGTCCATGACTATTTATCATATCACAACCTGCATAGGTATTTGCCTTTCAATATCCCCTACTATTTTTGAAGAGTATATATTGGATATCAGAAGCACATCTTTTCTCGGTAAGATCACAATATCAAGGTTGATTTAAATTCACAAATAATTCGTATTTTCAGTGACGAAGACTTTGGATGATATTGAGTTAGAGACTTAGCTACTTTAATTTAAGTGGTGCAGGCATGGTCCACAAAGATGTTATCAAAACTCCGTGTGAAGTTTCAGTTTGTGTTGTCTTTCCATATCTAATTGGTGCGAACTAAATTAGGGGTGGGAGTGCGAGGGAATTAATGACACTTCTGTGGTCTTTGTTAATTACAGAGAAGAGAAATACAATGGAATGAAAGGGGGTTTAACGTCCAACTGGCAAAGAGGTGGCTGGTGGTCAATGGTAGTAGCTTTAACAAGGATGTAAGTTCTTAACTTGTTATGTTTAATAACGTTGTCATTAGTTGAATTGTGTGCATTAGTGAGAAGTGTGTTAAACTTAGCTTGAAGTGACTAATTTAAAATGGGCTGGTTAAAAGGTTTTTATTAACAGTGAACTTATAATTTAAGATTCTGTTTTGCACGGCACCAGTGTTGTGAATAGTGGTGTAGCAGGGTGGGTGGGGGCGGTGGGTGCGCAAATGTTTCCTCTTGCCTTGACAGATTTACCTATATGCACGAAGCAATGATTACGATTACCCATACTTGCTACCTGTTATATGGAAACAGTTGATGGGCACCTTACTACTGGTGCATATCTTATCACTATCAGCTGTCTCACGTGATCGTGAAAATAGCAGTTAAAGCAGTTTTGACAATTTAGCTTCCGGCTTTAAAAAATGGTGTGGGGCAGTGCCACTTTATTTAGATTTATATATGTTTTAATATGACACACAACTTATTTGATTAAAAGGAACCGCTTGGTTATCTTTTCCAAATAAAAGGTTTGTCAGTGTTGTTGCGGTTGTTGTAAAATAACTTCTTGCTCAAGCGCCTTCGTGGTCATGTAGTTACAGAAAGATTACATCTCTAACCCTAACCCTAGAATTTCAATGGTTCACATAAACTTGAAGGCGATGGAGGGTACCGAAACGACCGTCTGTCAAACAAATATCTCGAGAAGTATAATGTTTTGGTAACAAGTATATTTTCCCGATAGTTTGGGTATATTCTCTAAATGTTCATTATTTATTTAGGATCGCGAATCTCGGGGAAATACAACTTTTAACTTTATGAGTTGATGAAGTCAGAAGGTAAGGCAAGTTACAGAATTGATAAACTTTTTCGTGACTTTCTCGGCCTTATCATTTTTTATCATTGGTTGAAAGTCATAGATGTCAGTGGCTGGGTTCGATGTGAATATAATCCTTTCTTAACCATCGATAAAAAGTCGTCTGTTTTATGATCCACACTTAGGATAAAATACCCAAAGCGTTGATTTAAAATGTATAATATGAATCCAGCTTCATTGGATATCCTCTTGCATTAGATGCCTGAGTAGGCCTCCGGATTAAAATAATCCCATTTTCCATTATTTTTTTTTATTATTCATAATAATATAACAACATAAATATATCTACTCATAATAATTAATATTACAAAATAAATAATTATCACAATAAAATAAAATTCAAAATATTCTCAGTTTGTGCATTAATCTGTATTGAACTATATATTTTAATCAGAGTTATATTCCAAATGAGAATCTGGATTTATTATGGATTTGACAATTCACACAAAAATTATTCTGAGGGCACAATTTTTATGGTTCTTTGGTTTATACCAGAATAAATTTCATCTTGCCAAATTTTCTCAATTTCCAAACTTTTACTCAGTTTCAATCATCTGGTATAAATATGTGTGGAAGTGGGTCAATGGGTCATTTGATTGACTGGCCACAATTAATATTTGTAATAAAAAGATCCATTTTCCAATCAATATAGTATTTCTTATAATTGGAATAGGCTATAATATATCTTAATGCACTTAGAAATACATTAACCACTTATCAGTAATTTAGATGTTAGTGTAAAATTAAGTGAGTTTGTAAAATTTAAGAGGTGCATTAAAAAATAAGTAATTACTTTAATTACTTGAAGCGAGTGCACTGAAAATAAATAAATGCTGTAATTTTTCTTTAAATGTAGCTAAAAATATCGGATTTCAGAACAATTTTGAATGTGCTAGATATGGTACCTTTAATGATACATTATGTGTAAATCTTAAATGTCCTCTATTCAAAATTGGTATTTACCCTATATGAATGATTATATTTTTAAAGATATTCAAAAATCCCACCCAACTGCAAAAGTCTAACAACTCAGCAACGGGTGGATAATTTCACAACAGTGATGGGATTTGATAAATAAGGAGATCAAAAAGACACTTCAAGGCACAATAAATCTACTAAAAGGTGACAAAGTAAGGCACAGTCTAAAACACAAGAGTATAGCGACAACATATGGTATTAGTAAACAACTGATGCAATATGACAGACAACTGACCAATATAATAATTGATAATTTCTCCAAATTCTTTTAATTTTTAACCAGCCAAGTACCAACTTACTACTGGGTGTTTTTTGTTTTGAAGTGATGGTCACTTACATGGGTTAATTTCTGTCACATTTCATCATTTATCATATGTCATACCTATGGGGGACTTTTATGCAAGGTTCTTTTATCACAAGACAGCTTTTTTAGACTACATATATAAAAACAATAATACTACAATATAAGAGGGTTCTCAGATCTTTGAGCAATGCACAGCCATGAAGGCAGAATTGAATTTATATCTTTGATATCATTATGGGTATATTTTGCACTAAGGATGCAATTATCACATACAGGTGTTTTGAAAATATATTGCAATATCACATAATGCTTTATATATAGGGTTAAAAACTACTTAGACTATCACATTAACTACAAGAAAATATCACATACATAAATACAGTAAAATCTTGTTAAATACAGAGACAGAATGTCAATTTTATTCTTCTGTATTTTTTACCATAAACTACTGAATAGTTATTCAATGGAAGATAATATCATACTGGAGCCCAAATTACAAGGTTCAATTTAATTTAATAGTCTAAAATATATTCAATTTTATGCTTCGTTTATCAGGTTTCACTGTACTTATCCTAACATTTGGTGCAATATATTAAAAAATTATATAGCTATGAAAATAGTTTTGTAAAAAAAAAAATAGGGGATGCCAGGAAACAACAAATATTTACATAAATGGCAATCCATATGAAAAGTCTATTATATAAGGTCCATTATAAAAATCATTTGTAACACATGAAATTTTAATGACAGTTTCTATAATTTGTACATTTTAATATTTATCTCCTGTTATATTTATTTCTAAGTTTTATTTTAAAATTGCAGTCCCTCTTTGATTTGTGATAAAAATAAAATAATAGATTTTTTTGTGAGCAGACTATCCCTCTTCTTTCAAACTTATAGGTCTGCAGATAAAGCCAATGATGCAATAGGACAGTCAACCCTTTAAGCCAAAATCGTAAAGGTCTTCCACTCAATATTTCAAAACTAAAATGCTTCATAAGTAATTATAATAACACATCAAATCAACCTAAATCAACACTTTATTTTGCTCCAAATCAAAGAAGTGCAGGACCTTTAAACTTCAAGCTAACCACAACAATATTTACTTTAAAAAATCTGTTCATTCAGACTTCTAATTCTATCATATTTGTTTGTATTAATTACTACCTTCCTCAAACAAAACAATGGCAGTCTTTTATTTAAATTATTTATGCAAAAGTTAATAAATGTTTCTTCAAAATTGATTCAATTTAGTTATTAAACTATTGCTCTATATGTCTAATGTCGATTTTTATTGTTTTCAATAAGTATTATTATCTATCTACAACTTGCACCATATTTAAATCTAGCCATAGAATTTCATAAATTGGGCAATATGGTCATGTCCTAAAATAGCCAAAACACATCCTGTGTGACCTCAGAATTTAAGACATCCACCAAAAAGCATAAATATACATATCTGGGACAGATTAACGATATCACTTCGGTGGAAGCGGACGTTAAATAAAGCTATTTCACACACAGAGATTTAACTACCAGTAACACATCCTTACATTGCAGTGAATCTTTATCCATTGCTTAGGACGCTGGTCTACAATATGAGTGTACCGCTACCAATTTGAGACAGAGATGGACATGGTAAGATGAATAGTGTAGCGTTATTTAAGGATGCAGTCCTAAGCACTTTATATAATATAATAAAAAAAAGAAGACTAAATTCACTCTAAACCCACAAAGTTTCCATCCAGTCAATGGTCCCGGGGCAGGACATGATATCATGTTATCTCAAACCAATTTGTAAATGCTATCTGAAGATGCAAGGATTTTGTGCCCCAATCAATTCTTAAGTTGAAGTAATACAATACCTTAATGACATTGTTCTATTTCAGAGATAAAATAGATTCATGTTCTTGCCCAATAGGCACTATATTTCACAAAGCATGTGTAAAACTTACATGAATTAAACGTTTTACTATTGAAACAAACCCAAGGACATGAGAGACTGGATTGATTGTTTGGTGGTATCTATGAGGCAGATAATTCTTACTCTCTTAGATACCACGTTTCATTTAAAATGTTCATATAACCACAAATTGTTATTTTGATACTTCATTATAAGTACAGTAAAATATCCTCAAATAATGGTCTAAATTAAGAAAGTTTAAAAAAAGGGCTTTCAGATGAAAAATCACCAGAATTATTACCATAAGAAACTTTGCTATTGTGGTTCTACTAAGTGACTGAAATAAGTGTATACATACAAAAAAAACAGAATACTTAAGATATTATTTAGTAAAACAGAAATAATTCTACAAAAGCACAGAAGAGATGATACAGTGCCAAGCCACAGGAAAACAAGAATAAAAGGTCACAGGGTTCAAAGTTTGTAGTTCAAAGTTCATGGGTTATCTTTTAGTTCTTTCTCTGTATTGACCTCAGAACCTGAAGTAGGAAAGAGATTCAACCAATCAAAAATTAGTAATTACAAATTTAAATACATTTAATCAGATAAAGTGCAGTGATGTTGAAAATTCAGATTACAAATTAAGTTTCCTCCTATTAGTATTAATGATTTGTAATTAAATTTGAAAAGTCATCAAAAATCTGAATTGAAATATATAACTAAAAGGGTAAAATGTGGATGGATAATTTATTATTATTGTTTTGTAAAAGTTTAACCCATTATTCTTGTGTTAAAATGAAACAGTAATAAAATATAAAATACTAGCGAGCATTATATACACAATGAAAACACACCATTGATTTGACTTGGAAGTGCTGACATAATGCAGCTGAAATGTGATTTTTGGCTTGATTATTGGCTGGACATTTACCAGTGTAGAAAATCAACAACAACCCACTGGGGCCATCACAACTTGACTTTACTAACAAGTGTAGGCACAAAGAGTGGAATCAAAAATCAGTAACAGTGTTTGTCATGCAGTCCAGCAGAGATTAGTTTGCTAAGAACAGTGTCAGCACTGATACACCCATGTCAACCCATCACAGTAGCAGCAGTATGGGAAGCTACAGATGTTGCATATGACATGTCTGTCTTATTGAGGCATTCTTAGGCTTTCCCTCCAGATCTTGGCCAATCCTCTGTGGACCCTGTCTGTGGAAATGATCTGCCAGTTTCAGGATGATAGTGAGATGACATCTAAACCATTGGGAGACAGCTCTGGTACTAATGCATGTTCTTAATGTTCAGGTGTCAACCGTGGCATACTGTTGCGTCTTCCATAGAACTGTAGGAGTTACACTAAACCCAGCTTTTTAAAAGCTGCATTTTATAACACATGTCTCCGCACCACAAAATCATTGCCATTCTGTTGAATTGAATGTTTTGTGTATTAGGTAATTGATGGTGATAACAACATGCTCATGTGATATCATCCTGATCCAGAATAGCAATATCAGTTATCTCTCAAACAAGATTTATGGTCATTCGTTTATAAAAGTGGTGTGTTTTCATGGCATATCACTATATATCAAGTGAAACAGAATAAGGAATTGACTAAATATAACAAAAGTGAAATAAAAGTCTGACACAGAGTGTGAAAAATTCATAAATCAAATTGACTACAAAAGAAAAGAAAAGAAATGTATGGTGAAGAGTTACTGATAGATCTAATACTAATATAAAATTTAATCACCTTTTTCCTTTTTATCATTTTCTACAGATTGTTCATTTACTTCAGGTTTGGTTTCATCAGTTTGTGTGTCTCCAGTCTTTTTCACTTCACTCTCATTATCTGAACCAGATGTGGATGACACTGAATCAGAACTACTGGAATCATCACTATCTGAATCAGTATCAGAATCAGAACTGCTGTCTTCAGACACAGCTGAATTAAAGAACATTAAGTATATTTTAAAGATATAAATTATGGATACAGTGATTTCTTTTGAAAACTGAGATGTGAGCACATAATGAATGTTTTTGTCATGCAAGGTTACCTCCCCTGCTGAATTTATAATATGCTTAGAAGTATTTGATACAAACTAACAAAGAAAAAAAAATTCTTACATACAAACAAACAAAACAACATATTAGATGGATATTTAACAAAAACAACATGTATTTCAAAAATGCATCAGTGATATTGCTTAAGTTTTATGAAGTTTTTAACTATGGTACAAGTAAAACTATCGATGTGTCAAGCACCTAAAGTAAGCAAACTGAACATAAAATACTATTTAGGGGATAGATGTGGGAGTGAGTGTGCTGTGTTTAATAGACAAATATAATAAGGATTCTATACTACGCTGAGAGGAGGGGAAAGCAAATGGGTTTGCGAGGGATATTGTAGACATCTGTTAATATAAAAAAAATATTATTACATGTAATTGAATAAAAAGAAATTATTATTCTCTTTCTCAACCAAACAACTCAAGTAATCTCAGAACGTAATTTTTCAAAAATACCAGGAAATTATAACATAAGGCCTGTACAGTTCATTAATGCCTGTTACCTTTATTGTAACAAATTATAATATTTACCGTTAGTTTTGCTTGTAGCTTTTTGCTCTCCAGAGTCAGTAATATTTGTGGAAGGTTCTATAACTGAAGTATGTTGTGCCACAGATGATTGTTGAGGCGTGGTGGATGATGGTCCTGAAGTTATGTTTGAAGGTTCTGGTGTTAGTGTAGGTTTCTCATCTGCAACAGATGACGATTTTGTTTGTGTAGTTTCAACGTCAGTTTCACTGTCTGTACTAGATCCTGAAGTTGTCTCAGAATCTGAATCTGATCCAGAGCTGCTACTGGAATCTGATAAAGACATTTGTTTCTTCTCCAGAGCTGGTTTAAAGAACTCTTGAGAATCTCTTTTCTTCTGCAGAATTTCTTTTTCAGTTGAATCAATTGAAGTATCAGATCCTGGACTAATCTTTTTTTGGTTGGTATCTGGATTGAGAGATGAAGTATTATCAGCTGGAGATCTTGAAACCATGGAGGCAGACTCCTTCACAACTGGTGTTTGTTCTTTCTCGATCTGAATGGATTCTTTATTCAGGTTATATGTCTGGGAATCATTCTGGCCAAACTGTTTTAGCATCTCCTCAGCTACTCTTTGGTTTTTGCTGCCTTCAGATTCATTTTTCTCTAATTCTTTTAACATTTCTTCATCTACTCTACCATCAGTTTTTTTACCACCGAACTCTCTTAGGATCTCTTGAGCTACCCTTTTATCGTTGTTACCTTCTGGGTCTTTCTGACCAAATTGTTTTAGCATCTCTTCAGCAACTCTTTGGTCTTTGCTGCCTTCAGATTCCTTGTCACCAAACTGTTTCAGCATCTCTTCAGCAACTCGTTGGTCCTTTTTACCTTCTGATCTATTCTCACTTCCAGAGTCTTTTTGTCCAAATTGTTTTAACATTTCTTCAGCTATGCGTTGGTCCTTGTTGCCTTCTGGTACATTTTGACTCTCAGGGTCTTTTTCACCAAATTCTTTTAGGATCGCCTCTGCCACCCTCTTATCACTGCTACCAGAAGACTCCTTTTGTCCAAACTGTTCAAGAATTTCTTCTGCCACTCTTTTGTCCTTTTGAATTTCATCTTGATTAGTTCCAAAAGTTTTAATAATTTCACCGGATATTCTTTGATTTTTAGATTGTTCAGCATCTTCTTGGTCTTTACCAAAAGATCTTATGATTTCGCTTGCAACACGCTGGTTCTTTAATTGGTCAGAACTTCTTTCAGTTCCCTCGTCATCAGCCTCATAAGTACTCGCCCCATCAGGCTTTCCAAATTCTTCAATTATTTTGTTTGCAATTTTTCCACGTTTGTTGCCCATATCTTCATGCTCTGAGTCTGAAATAGGTGACTGTGAACTTTCTGTTTCCTCATCTGTCCATACTGTGTGAATTATTTCTGGTGTTTTGATTGGACTGCTTTGATTGGACACTAATATTGGGGAAGAACTTGAAGATTCCTTTTCATTTGTAGGACTGTTTTCCACACTTTCTGACCTTTTTTGTATTACAGTTGGGGTTGACTTGGTGACAATTTCGTTTCTTTTTGGACTTAGTTCCTGTAAAGTTGAATTAACTGGAGACTCAGATTCAGAATCTTCTGTGGAATATGTTTCTGCTGACGACTCTACAGGTGGAGGAGGGGTCGTTTCTTTTGAACGTTTGATCTCTTGTGAGTCTACAGGAGAAGCTGGGGGTGTTACTGTTTTAGAAGAATGGATATTCTGTGGCGATTTTCCTGCTTTTTGAGGTTTAACTGGAACTGAAACAATTGAAAGGATTTGAAAATGTTTTTTATCATTTAAAGGAAATTACCAATAGATTTCAGAAAATTTAAATTTATTGACAATTTTCTTATATTTCATTCAATCCTGATTGAATTTGGCTAATCTACAATGTAGTAAAATGCAGTCATGTTCAAATTTCACCCCAAAAATTATTCTACAATCAAGTGTTTGATAATAAATGATTTATCCCAATCAGGCATCCCAGCTTGGTTTATCCCAAGCCAGGCATCCCTGCATGTCTATCTCAAATGCTCATGTTAAGTGTTGATAATATTTTGCTAGCCAGTACTACAAAGAAAATGCAAAATAGCCTTATATTCTTCCTGAATTTCCAGTAAACCGAGCTAGAAACAGGAACTCTAAAAGGTTTCAATGGGATAGTTCTGATACTTTGTCTAGCCTTTGCGATGGCTATTATGATGGTTGACCACCTGTTATGAGTCAGAAAGATAATGTCCTGGATTCTGTTAGTTTTTTCCTAACATACAATGAATCAGGGAGTTTTGACATTTTTGATAGATTCCATTCATGACATATATCAATCTCAGTCAGAAAAGTTATTTTAAAGTGATAGATACAATGAAGGTACAGTCGTAAAAACATTTTAAAACCAGTTATTACAGAAACAGAGAATTGAAAATGCAAATCAGTACCATATGGTTGAAGCATAGGAAATTTAGACAAAAGGTCATTATGATTTTAATATTGCATGAAATAGAAAACTTTGACACAGTTGCAGTGGCTACAACAAATTGAATTTAAAAAATTGAAGATTTTCTGGTATTTATGAACAATCAATTTACAAAGAAAGGATTTTTATTTTGATTACATTTTGTATGCTTTGTGTGTAATATATAAAGCAAATTAAAATTAAAAAATACAAACAATCAATTTAAACAGAAACAGTGGCCATGGTTGTTACCCTCAGATTAACGAAAATATTTACTGGAATGATTGAAATGAAACAATTATGGCATGTAAAATTATGGCTACACTGCCTGGTAAAATGTTTGTCATGGTTACTTCAGATTAACAAGAGATTAATATCGTGATCAACACAATATTTCAGTCAATTGTAGACTAATATATGGTCAATTTTATTTCTATGGTTATATGTACAATTGGAAGTGAAGAATATTAGCTGTACCATGGCATTTTGGCTTACTAGTCTTCATATTCCAACTGCTAAGGGTCCTTCTATCTTAAGTTGTACAGCAATGTGTACACAAGTGAAAGAAAGTTTTTCATGGAATCAGAACAATTATTAGGCATTTAAAAGTCTGATGGTTCTTCCCCGCCCAGACCTTGACTTGAACCTTGCACATTCTATTTGAAAGGCCAATGAGATATTGCTTGACTACAGGGGTCCCATTGCATTTGAGAGAAACTATGAAATTTGTAACTTGATGAAATGAAAGTAATTCATATACATTGTAATTGTAGGGATAATGAAAAGAAAGATTAAATGTTAACACCAATTTTCCTCTTGTGATATAATTTGTCATGCATGATTACCTGTTTTCTTTGGTTGACCTTTTTCTGTTTTTTTGCAGATTTTTTCTTGTGACGTCTGCCTGATCTGTTGTCTAGGGGCTAAAAATGGAGCAAATAAACAGATTCTAGATATTCTACCGTGCAGAATTCAGACAACATAAGCTACAGATTTATTTCAGGCATAGCTAGCAGTGGATAGCTTTTAATAAAATAAATAAATATACTAACAATATGTTCTGTATATTTTATTTTACTTAGATATTGGATGTGATGCATTATTTTGATAGGTGATGGGACATGGTTTATCCAAATAAAGTTTTGTACCTTAAGATTAAGCCAAATATCTAAGTCTAATAATTTTAGTTTAATTTTGGTTTCCTGTGTCAATAGTGGAATAGAAAATTGGTTAATCTCATCACTGACATCTTCTACACAAAAATTTGATTTTTGAGTAAGTTTATATAGTTACAGATTGTATAAAAACAAAATACAAATTTAGATTTTTGCAATTCAAAATAAATCATATAGACATATTGGAAGTAAAAATACAAATATGCTAACTATGCAGCGTTGAAAAAAATCAGTTAAAAAGTAAAAGACAAATGAATAACATTTATAAAAGAGTAACAAATAAACAACACAATAACAAGATGCATCCACACATACAACACTAATCTATATCTTGTAAACTTTATCATATGTATGTTAAGTACATAAGAGAAAGTTTAGAGTTTGGTAGGGATAAATTTGTAACTGATCTTATTAATGTTTTTATTAAACCAATAACTAAATTAAGTAACTAATGTTTTGAGCGTTGTATTTTGTATTGTGTATAGGGAGAAATGTGGTTAATATTGGGAGTCTTTAGTAGTGGGAAGAAATCTGAATACCTGAATACTCTACTCCTTGTAATAAAAGTACAATGGGCTCGAGAACACATCACCTGACTCAATGACAGACTTTGTTATCTAAGTACAAGGGTTACAACATTCATCCCACCACCCTCACCCCCCTACTATGGCTTTCTGTGATTTTTTTTAGTTTGTATTAAATTTTGAGAAAATATTTTAATTCCGTCAGTGTTTTAGAACCAGAAATCAGTGTTTTATTAACCATCAAAAAAATAAAATAAATGCTAGTTATATAGAAGTTTGTGTTATAATAGATTTGTCCTCCCTGCCCAATGAGTGTTATATTAAAATTTGTATGCATTTTCTGAAGTGAAAGCAGTTTGAATGGGTGTTCTTGCAGAAAACTAAAAAGTTAATCTCTTACCTTCCTGATCCTCCTCATCTGTTTCTACAATAACTACTTTACTAACAGGACCATCTAGATCTTCTTCTTCAGATGAATATGCATCAATCTATTTAAGTATAACATAAGGAATATTAAATTTACTGAAGTGATCAAATGATATAACAACATTTTGAGGAAGCTTATACAATGTACATGAAACTGTTGATTTCATTTGATTCTATGGTTGTGACAAACAGTATAGTGTGAATGCACCTTTGATCTGATAGCCACACGAATGTATGATGTAATCTTATTGTACTTCCATATAAAGTATTGAGTGGAGAGAGATATCGAATGAGAAGCAAGGGCGAGAGATGTGCTGTTGTCGTCAGCGAAGAGTGAGCATGGAAGCCGGACTAAGACTATAATATGCATGTGTAAGGTATCAGTACTTTTAGAATTGCCTTCTTCAGTGTCTTATTTCTCTCTTCTTGTTTTCCCCTACCAGAAGCGTACCCAGGCTTTGTTATGGTACAAATATTATGGTAAATTACTTATTCAGAAAAGGTGTAATTCAATATTGATTTCACTAAACCATCGATTTAAGGGGAGATAATTTATTTTCAGGATTTAAGAATACTGGGACAAAATATTGGAACATTTTTAAGTTATCAACCACTTATTTAATATATGATCCACAGATTTAACAATAATGCCACACGGGTATAAAATAGAGTTGTTAACAGCTAGAAACGGTATATAACACAAGGAATCAAGGGGAGATAACTCAATCTCCAGAATAAATAAAGCTGAAAAGTATCTCCACCACAGACTCAATAATAAAATTTACTTGTAAGTTGTAACAAAATATTGTGGAGAATCCAAATGATGATATTTAGAGTTTGAAGTACAGAAAACATTGATTTAAACTGGTAAAACAGAGAATCAAGGGGAGATAATTTAGTTTTCAAAACCCCATTAAATATTTTATATCTCGGTGACCGCTTGACAGATTTGACACAAATTTTGCATACAATCCAATTTGAACATGCACAATGTTCAAATTTTAAAAAATGTTTTATCATCAAATGGTGACGACAATTTAAGGGCTATAATGACTCTGTAAGGGGCATTCTAAAGTCTTTAGAGTAAAATTGAAAAAAAAAAAAAAAAAAAAAAAAAATTGAAATGATACAGATATAGTAATAGAGAATGGTAGTCTTTGTGGAATAAACACAAAATTTCCCTCAGCCAAAATATTCAAATTATTTTAGAAAAAAATGCAACGACTTAATAAAGTTATAAGATAGTGGGAATAAAGGGACATGATTTGGTCTGCAAAGAATAACCAAAACATTTTCAAAATGCTTCATGAATTCAATACAGACTTTGTCATTTCTTGTAGGACATAGTTTCATTGTGGGAGCCACGGTGGTTCAGTGAGTACGACATTGGCTCGCCAACCTGGAGGGTCTGGTTTCGATTCCTGGGATGGCCGAGAATTTTACTGGGTGGTTCCCATTTGTCATTTGTGCAGTGATAGTCAATCGAATGGGACAGATAAACCAAGGTCCCATGTACACACTGGCGTACACATAAAAGATCCCCTGGCAGTCCAGGAAAATATCCCTCATAGCATACTGTATGGTGTATGCCCATCTTCATTAGCCCAGTTGGAACAGAAAACTAGGATGTTAAACCCCATTTCATTTCATTTCATTGTTTACAGTACTATTCTTACCTTTCTTCCATTTAGGAGAACTTCTTCATCTTTTTCTAAAACTGTTACAGGTGTGTCGTTCAATGAATCTCTCGGTGATTCTAAAGATAATCCTCTTATTTCACGATTATCTAACTCTTCTTCTTCTTCAACATTCTCCTTACCTTATATAGATCAATAAAAAATCATTTATAACGATTTAAATCAAATCTATAATTTTCTTATTTTAAATCAATATGGCCAAGTTAACTTAGTCAATGTCTGCAAGGTCAAAATTGCCGTCAAATATTAGTATGATATCTTGTCTGTCTGCTGAAAATGATAAGATGGTGGATGGAACTGATCTCATAAGTTTTAGCTCCCCGAATAATTTAGCCTTCGACAAACTGGATATTGTGTGCTGTGAGAAACTAACAGAAAATGGCCTTATCAAGATATTATGGTATGATATGTACATGTATGTACACCTGATATTATCAAAATCTTGTCAACGAATATTACATATTTTGATGGATATGGCATTCCATACAACAATCACTAAATTCTGCGATTTATTAATACTTTCACTCTAAATAATGATTTGGTAACGTCTTCACAACTTAACATATCAGATATATTTTATATTATAATTGTGTTTTTCTTATGGATCCGAGGTTTCTGATTTGCATGCTATAAATAATAATTAATTTTGGATATTTCTGAATGTTAGTTTAAAATACAGATCTATATTTCGTTTCGTTTTTTTTATATTTTTGATGGCCTACACTATACAAAGATCTGACCCTATGATGCCAGACATTGAATAATCAATCAGCGTTGATGTTTCTAGTGGTTTAGCCACAGTTCCGTGCATGGCACGCCATGTATTCGCTGTAACAGATCGTTCCATTGGCTAATCCTAATCCTTCACTTCAACCAAAATAATATAACAACTCTTTCAGATCCTAGCGTAGTTAAGACAAGTAAAACGAAATTTTGAACTATAAAAAACGAAACAAAATAGGATCTGTGTTTAATCAGATTGCGTTTTTAGTATAAAATGTGAAAATATGAAACGGTCCACAGCTTAAACCACACCAATATGTACTCAATTTAATTATTCAACATTTAATTCAATGACATTAAAAAGGGGACCCAAAAAGATTTTAGTGAAGATAATAGGGGTTGGGTGGCCGGTTGGTTAACATGAGGCACAACATCATAAGGCCTTTCATTGAGTTTCAACTGCCAAGGGATCTATAACATGCATGCCAATGTGTACACAGAATCTAGGTTTTTCATCCCATCCGAAGGACTATACATTGTTCCTTACACCAGTGACCAGGAGGAACCACCCCGGAAAATACTGATGAACTTTCTCTGCCAAGGCAGGGATCGAACACAGACCTCCAGGTTAGCAAAGTAACATCTTAGCCACTGAGCCACCATGGCTCCCCTATTGTTTGGGCTTGTGTATCTGTGAAATAGCTTTATTTAACGTCCGCTCCCACTTAAGATCTGTTCAATTATGCTTAAAATAGACTCAATCATCCAGTATAACAGTATAACCATATCTGATATTCATTGTTTGCAACCAGAAACAAATTTCTAAAGCACATTCATCTACTTTAGCTGTATTTGATTGGTGCAAATCAAATTTTTGCTGTTTACTTATTGTCAATGAAATATTTTTGGCAAACCATCTTTGGGGGTTTGTTTAGCCTCTTTTGTTCAAAAAGAAAGGATCACTGACTAGGTGATCTCAGATTCAACCCCTGTGTTGGCCACGAAGGTTCATCTGGATTTTTCAGCACAATGTCAGGGGTGAAGGACATTGCCTAGTTGTTAGGCTGTGTACACAATAGCATATCACATTAAACAAAAAATAACCTTTACAGTTGAAATCTGATGAGGAATAGTACACTGCATGGCATCATATTCCTGAAGCAATGGCCCAAGAAATCCCTCTCTGGTCATTGCTGGATTGACTTCTGCTACTTGAGCTTTTGGGGGAGTGTGTCTATTCTTCCCATTTAATCAAATCTCTCCTAAGTACAACAGCCCTTTGTTTAATCTGGGGTATTCCCTGAAACTTTGGACAGTGATTTAAGGTATTAAAAACAGTGAAAGTATTGTTTGTATTTAAAGAGTATTGTTTACATTGTAGCCATTTTGATACCCTTGTTTGTCACGCAATTAGTTTTTGTGCAATATTCTATGCACTGGTTAATTGGGCATAATAAATTTCTTGAGTCATGACGTAATGCTATGTAAACATATTTGGAGTTCTGTTTAAACCCGAATGATATTGTTACGCATTTAGGTATTGGTTGTTAATCAGACTATTGACTAGTCATAATTTGGAATAGAAATTTGCTTTCATTACGGCAGTGTTGAGTGGGATTAGGTCTAATGAAACAAAACACTGCGAGGAGTATGCATGGCATATGTCTGCCTTTAAAGTTTATTGTAACTGGACGGGAAATCTTTCTTTGTTCTTTTCGTTGAATAAGCAGATTGTTTTCTCTCTAGTAGATTGGGTGGAGCTTAACCGTGCAATAACTAGACATGTTCAATGTTATTGCACACTTTTGCTGGTTTACACTAGTTTTAGTAGAAGTGGGTTGGGTTTTCTGTGCAATAACAACAAGCATGTTGAGCAGTTGTCAATGTTACAAGTCATAACTTATAGCACGCTTCATTCGTTAACAGGTTTAACACATCGACCTACGACCTCTGGTTAAACCTGTTAACTCATGAAAGTCGTGCTATAAATATAACTTAGCCCAGTTGGCGCTGAAAAGTAAGACCTTAAACCCCAACATTTCTTTTAAATGTCACGATGTGTTATTTGTGCTAACTGTATACATTGCTGATTGATTAAAAGTCTTTTTGTAAGAAATTGTACCTGAAGATAAAATTACGAGTAAATCAACCCCTCTGTTCCACTTAATTAAAGAGTCCATTTCACAACATATAATACAGAGACAATATTATAAATTTCTTTCTTTATATTTATATTTGTTTGATATTATTAATATATACAGATATAATTCAATAAATAATATTAGAGTTAATAAAATATATCAAACAAAAGTAAATAAATGTAATAATTGTAGTTTATATATTATATATATAAAAAAAGGATTATATAATTTGGATACATGTATTTAACCACTTCTTTCACAAAATGACCAGATTAAATAGTACACTCAATATAAAATTAAATGAAATATTAATTAATAGTGTATAAATTATAACTAAATGTAAAAAATTAAAATAATCAGACAGATGAATGTACAATCAATGAAATTATTAAATATTTTAACACCCTTTGAGTAATACGAGTAAATATTTTTTAAAAAGATTCTTAGAATATCTCAAATTCATATACATCTTTATTACAATAATTTCAAGACATTGTTCAGATTGGGTTGGTGTAAAAATAAATATTTTTCTTTTCATATTTTTATCAACATTTGAGTTTTATTTGAGATAAGTTTATAAGAGTAAAAACAAGCAGGTGGATGGAGGCTATTATGAATGAATGTATGTAATTATGAATGATAAGAAGTGAGCATGATATTACAGTATATTGAAATTTATATATATGATTTATCTCTTCTAAAGATAATTTTTAACAAAGGATTATAATCTAAAGACTTTTCACACAATCCTTTCAACATGTACAGCTATAAAGTTAATAGGCTATAAATAAGCTAATATCACATAAACTACCGTAATTCATTATTCATAATCATTCATAATAATAATTCACTTTAATCATATGCTGTAACCAGGGTATATAATGTTCCATCTTTCATTATTAGTCCTTATTCTTTTCACATTCTTTCAAAATCAAATCTTTGTTTGAAAATTCTAGAAAAACTGTCTAAAATCATAGAAGACAAACACATGGACCAATGCTTCCTATTTTCACTTCATAAACATTTTGGTAATTTTGAGAACAACATCAGGTAATTCTGAGTCGACTATCAGTCCCTGCAAACTTGGAAGTCATTGTATGAAAATTATGTGATTCTTGATCTATTACGATAAATAAATATTAAATAACATTCTAAAAAGAATTTGGCATAGCTTAATTTTCTTAAGAATAATTGGTCATTTGGCTGTCTATGACTTGATCATCTGGTGTTCGATTGGACAATAACGGATCGTCGTCACTGGAGCTACCTGATGAAGATTCATCATCACTCGAAGACAATGAATCGCTTGAATAACTATCAGTATCATCTGATTTAGAATTTATTTCTACAACTAATTTTCCTGTATCTGAATCCATATAATTTGGATTAGATTTTTTATTTCTCCTGGCAATAGATTGTCCTTTACCAGACTGACCTTCATTAGATAGTTCATTGCTAAGTTTATTGTCTACAGCAAGATCAAACGAAACTGATCTATTCTTTTGAAGTTTTCGAGGTGAATTAGACTTAAGAGCCGATTTGTTTTCTCTTATTTCATTAACAACGTTTAAATCAGATGTTTGTTTACTTTTCTTTTGTTTTAACTTTTTTGAATAATCGTTCCGTATGTGATCAGTGTCACCACTGCTACCTTGACTGTTACTGCTACTGTCACTGTCAGTGTCACTAGTGCCACTGTAAGTATGTTCGGGTGGCTGGTGATCCTCCTTAGCTATTAATCTAGGTTGGTTGCCAACCAAATCTTTCGCTTCATCCATACACGTTTTTAAAAAATCATCAATTTCATCATCAATTTGCTTATCTTCTTCCTTTTGCTTTTCATTTTCACTCACAATGTTAACTTTCTCTTTAGGGATTTCAACAATTTGAGAATCAACTGTTTTGGCCTCGTCTTTGGTTTCAGTGGCAACTGATTCTGGCAAACTTTCTTTAGTACTATCAGTTTCTGTTTCTGTATCCATTTTCTTTTCTGTTGTGGTGTCTGCAATATTTGAATCCACCACTTCCTGATTAGCAACACATTCAGCAGGGTTTGAGTTAGCCACTTTGGGTGAATCCACAGCTTCACAATCATCACCACGTAAATCTGAATTTGAGTTTTCCATTCTCGGTGTGTCATCCTCCTCAAAGATAACTTTTATTGTTGGTGGATTGGTTTTCATATCTAATTTAGTAACTTCACTACCTTCTCTTGTCTTATCTTCATTGTCATTCATTTTTTCAATATGGCTACTTTCCGTAGATACAGCAGAATGAACAACATTTTCAGCTGATTTTGATGTCATATCCTCGAGAGTGTCCATCGTATAATTCTGAGTTTGGGATTCTGCTTCCGAAAACCTATCACTACTATTGTTATTATTACTATTCACTGTTAAAGAGGCTGGGGTCTGCTCTGTTGAGTTATGAGATGCCTGTGATTTACGGTATCCATGTTGTTGACTATCATCTTCGGAATCAGAAATGGAGAGATTTTCCCGCGATCTGTAAATATCCTTTGAAACTAACTTCACAGTTTTATTTCTAGGTTCAACACTAATCTCCACAATACTTTCGGTTTCTTCTGGAACCTCATACCTTGTCAATGAAATTTCTTCACTGAAAGTAACCTTACGTTTTGAAGGATCTTGCCGCCTTGGAGACTCAGCTTCTGTTTCAATGTCAGAAACTTCATCTGCTGTGTTGACGTCATTTTCTAGTTCTTTTAACAATTCTTGAGCAGAAAGGATTTCATCTTCAATGCTTGTTTTCTTTGAACCTCTTTTCTCAGGCTTTGGCTGAGAAGCAGACTGGGAGGAGTTTGATGATTTTACAGAACTTGATTTAACTGTTGATTCAGTTTCAGACTCTTCAGATTCAAAGGAGCTTTCGTACTCATCTCTACTACCCATGGCTGTTTCACGACCACTTTCCGTATTTGCCCCCTCTTTGATATCCTCACTTATCTCCCTTGTTTCAATAGTTGATTCTTTCACAGAGATTGAATCTGTCGAAGATGTGGATGAAGATGAACTGTGATCTTTAGATTTCTGGCTCCTTTTTATTTTAGCTGATTTGATTCTTGGAATTCTTTTTCTTGGACTAGAGGTATCATCTTTACCATCACTTTTTAAACAAATTAATGACTTGGAGTCCTTGTTTAAAATGACTTCTTGTGTTTCGTTAGAGGCAGATTCCTGTTTGGATGTTTGTGGAGAAATGACCTTATCAGGACCCTTTACTGTAATAATCCATCTTTTGTCGTCTGTGATGGTTATTTCTCTTGGGTTGCTAACTGGGTCTGCTTCTTCCTCTTTTAAATCACTACGCTCACTATTCTTCAGGAAGGTGTAAGTCGGTCCTGCATCAAGTGAATCATCAGGCTCAACCTCAACCCTTTTGATTTCATCCATTCCTCTTTCAGCAGATGATGGGTTTTTAACTGAATAGTCTGCAATGGAAAAAATAATGAGTTAAAAAGTAACAATACTAAGGCCAGAGATCAGAATTTTAAAACTGCTAATTTATGAAAGTTAGTACATTAATTAGACAACTCAGAATATGTTTTCTAAGATTAGATCTTGTCTTTTCAAATTATATTCCAGGTGACCTAGAGTCGTACAGTAACCATACACAAACATCTTGGCGATTTCTTTGACAAAACTTATTAAATTTAAAGCAAGGTTAATCGTGATCTACTCTAATCCATCAGTCACTAACTTGCTCTTACATTACAATATAAATCACAATGATGTTCGTATGCCATGTCTTGGTGACCTAGACTATTTAAATTACAGATAACTATTTATTTCTAAGTGACAGTCTCTGTCTAAGTCTAATTATGAAAACTTAAATAATTGTGGTTCCAAAGTGTTAACAAGGGTTTATAGTGAGGTTAAGGGTTATAACTCCAATTGAATCAAAAATCAAATGGGGTCTTCCATATAAAAAGTCGATCAACCTATTAATATCTTCTTTGATTGGCATTAAGTAATTGAACATATTAACACAATGTACAATTTTATGGATACACAATTACTGAGTTTAAAACTAAGTGACGCTTCGATGAGGAAACTCTCGTCTTTATCATTTGCTTGATAAAGATGAGAGTATCCTCGTCGAAATGTCGCTTAGTATTAAACTCAGTAATTGTGTATCCATAAAATGTACCGTGTGTCAACCTATTAATAGTTCATCAAGATCTAACAATAATTGTGGATGGACAACTAGACGGATAGCAATGTATAAAAATCACATTATATCAATAGCCTTATGGAGACTGTCACTTAAAAGTTAATTAAAATTAATCAACAACAAATTAATGAAAGTCCCACTAACCTGTTAGAGTGAAAAGTGCAGATCTTTTAGTTCAAATGTCAGTGAGTCAAACAGTGAAAACGGTGATATCTTGCGATAAAAAATAACGTGGTTATGATTTTATTGGCATGCATTACAGATTTTGAAATCCAAGTGTATTACATGCCCCTTTCAGCACAGGTGCTTGTAACAAATGTCAAAGATCCATTAATCATGCCCCAAATCATTAGTAGGAATTTTGTAACTTAACAGATCTATCATTTTTACAAATCTCTGTGCTAATCACCAACTCATGCTCATTGGATTTTGTGTGTTTAATGGTGATATATTTTGGTGTGTGTAATGGTGATAATATATTTTTGTATGTGTATGTTATATTGGTGATGTATATATATTTTTGTGTAATGGTAATATACTTATTAATGTGACTTTATTTATCAATCCATGCATTTTGGAGTTGAACTGTTCATTCGCATGCTTATCGAACTGGAAATCAAACCAAAAATGGGATTTTGTGAGGTCCATAATGTCACAACAATTATTATAGGAAGCACATTTGTAAAAACGTTTTTATATAATTTCAACATTTCAATAACCTTATCATGAAAATCCAGAGAGGTTGTACTACTACCAAGGCATAGTTAAATTTAAAAACAAAAAGTATTTTATAAGTCCTCATGTTACATGTGCTTTATGAAATGGGGGACCCTCATCAGTAATATCAAAACATTTAATAAAGGGAGCACATTTGTCGAAATGTTTATACAATTTCACAATTATCACAAAAATCATGTACTACCATGAGAAATCATTTATCTAGTGAGATTTTTTTTAAAAAAAAAGTCTTTAATACACTTTATGAAATGGGGGAACCTCATCATTAGTAAGAGTAAGGTCTACCAATATTCATCAATTATAATTTTAAGAATTAGTAAAACATGTTATAAAATTTTAACTTATTAATCACACATTAATTAGCACACAGCATATCTGTTATCATGGTGGGAGGCAAAGTCAATTGAATACAAATTTTAGACCAATTTAAAAATATATCAAGTAAGTAAGGGAGTTAAAACATAGGTTTTATGGTTCGGATTGGGTCTAATTGATCAGCAGGAATTCTATTAAATATAATTTTCAGCAGGGATCAAACAAAGTGAAATAATTTTCACCTAATTTTTCAGAGATTCTCACTTTCTTCTTTTTAAATTTATTTTTTACGGAACGTCTTTTTTCTGTAAATTATTTCAATATTAGATACTACAAAGGTAATAAATAGAATAACTCTTTTCCAAAACCAGATATATGCCATACAAATGTAAATTTATGGGATTTCATTCCTTTACCTAAAGTTCACTTAATAAAAAAGTATTTAATCACTTCACCTTTGGCATTTTCAAAGAAAACTGCTAAGTTTTAACCAGACCATTGCATCACATTTATCAAATTTTGGAAAATAATTTTTAATAATTATATATATTATCAACTATATGTGAGCCTCCCAAAAACATGTGTAGTGATATCAGTTGTCCTAGAGTAAGCATACCCTGTCTCATACATGTCGCTAGTCTTTAGTCTAGTTTCAACATTAATCCAGATTAACCAGACCCTACAGTGTTCCTATACTAAATGATCAGTTGAGGCAGACTGGTAACTCAAGATATACAGGAACATTTTAATTGGGTTCTTTTCAACCCTATTTGTCCCTGTTCTGAATGATTATTTATGACAGCATTCCAACATGCATATGTTCCAACATTCAACGAATCTGATTGGTTAATAAGGTGTAGCATCATGACAAACTTTGTGTGTGAAAATTATTGTTTTAGATTCAGTTAATTTCTCTAAAATCATGCAATTTTCATTCATTAATTTCTCTTGCATGCATGAAATATTACGATTTAATTGAAACTTATAAAACAAAATGTTGCACTTACTTTCATCTTTTTTATCTTTTTCCACGTCTGAATCTTCAAAATCATCGTCATAGTTTTCGCATGCTGAAAATACAAAGATGAAAAATTCAAACATTGGACATTTTTAACAGAACCTGTTTGTATTCCTCTGAAAACAAAACTAGGTCATTTCGGGACTACACATTGTTCAATTTTATTTCTATAATTCACTTGCACGTAGGTTCTTTTTAGCAGAGGGCGGAAATCGGAGGAACCGGAGAAAACCCACAAGGGGTTGGACAGGCGACCCTACTCCTTGTCACGTACAACCAGGGATTTGAAACCACGCCAGTTGACTCAATGACGGTCCTTATGGTACAGCACGCACACGCTAACCATTCGGCCATCCAACCCCCCAAAAACAACAACTGGTAGATCACAGATGACTGTTCTTTTTGATGTTGCCTCCCTTAAAGTAGTAGTCCTAAAGTTTGTAATTGAGAGGTTTGAAAAGTTCAACAAGCATTAGATACATTGTATTCTATAATCTGCATGTTTTGCCATTTATTACTATCTTTGAGATTCTAGTTCTTCAAAACAGAAAAGGTTCTGGAAAAAAAAAAACCCAGTACAAGAAATTGTCCCATTTGCTCATGTTCCAGTCAAACTGGTGTGCAGTGGAATGTTGTCACAATCACTGGTAGTGGAATTACACTATGCTGTAACAATCACTGGCGGTGGAATTACACTATGCTGTCACAATCACTGGCAGTGGAATAACACTATGCTGTAACAATCACTGGCATTCATGACTCATGTTTTATTGTGTTCAAATTAGAATTCAAAAATTAATTTAGTAAATAAACAAGTAAGTTTGAAATACGTCTGGAGACAAATAAAATAGGCCAAATAAAAATTGAGTGTTTGAAACTGTTATTAATCCTTTACATTATTAAAAGATATCAAGAACAACATATCAAATGGTAAATAATCTCTCGGTTTTGGATCCGATCAGATTAAACAGACACCCATAAAAATTTTTTATGCAACATGTCTGCAGATTGTAGACTATAAGAAATGATATGACGGGAATTGAAAATGTCATCATTGATATTCAGGAAATGGATAGAAATGTTGATCTGCAAAGATCACAACATACACCCAACGGTATAACATTATACTTTAAATTTAATACCATGTAAATCCAATGCCTTTTGTTTAGTATTCAGATAATGTTTGATTAACATCAGTTCTTACAGTTATCAATATTCTAATACAATAGGAAAAAAGAAATAGCTTCCTATCGCTTTGAGGAATGTCAATAACTAAAAGAATACTGTATCCAGAATAACGAATCAATTTTAAATAATAAAGGTTATGATATCTATAATAAACACATCATTGCGAAGAAACAAATACCCCCACCACCAGCATTTTGAAGACAGGCAAGAACACAATAGTTTGTAGTGATGTAAATTGTGCATTCTCCAAAACTCTCATTAGGTTTCTGCAAAATAGAGAGAGAGAGAGAGAGAGAGAGAGAGAGAGAGAGAGAGAGAGAAATGGGGTTTAACGTCCACTCGACACAAACTAGGTCATTTCGGGACTAACATATGGTTTTAATTTTATTTCAATAATTCGCTTGCGCGTAGGGGTCTTTAGCTGTGGGAGGAAACCGGAGGACCCGTAGAAAACCCAAGAGGTTGGTCAGGCGAACCTACTCCTTGTCACGTACAACCGGGGAATAGAAACCTGGCCAGTTGACTCAATGACAGACCGTATGATACAGCGCGTGCGTGCTAAACATTCGGCCATCCACCCCCCCCCCCCCTTCTGCAAAATAATTGCCACTCTGAATTTTGATTGGGTTCCTCCTATGACAATTTAATGAAATAATTAATTGCCACAGAAGTCTCGAAACAGTGGAGCGTTTACAAGGTTTCGATGCCAGGGACATAAAACTGATACATGATTCTGGAATTCAAAAGGATTCCTCGTTACATTCTGGAATATTTGAAAAAGAAATCTCAAAAACAAGAGGCACAGGCTGATAAAGGTGGTGACAATATATTCCACATAAAATGGAGGCATATCAAAATATATTTCTTTATCACTTCACACAAAATATTGAAATACTGATGTTGTATATTATAAAAAGACTTATTAAGATAAATGCTCGCCACAGCAAAAAAAAAGCAGACTTTATTTATGTGTCATGCCATCTTCACAATATTAAGGTGTTATGACATACAATGACTGCATGTATCTTATTGTAAGCCTGCTAATGAAACTACCTGAATCAAAGCTTTTGTTAGTAACATGCGATACCCACTCGTCATACCAATTGCTATAAATTAAAAGAGCAATGCACCAGAAAGCCAATAATTTATTTCCTTTTTCAAATTTAACAAAAATTATTGCTGAAATGGGTTCTTGTGATTATAATTCAGACGACGAAAAAACAAAAAATGCATGCAGATAGGAAAGAAATATTTTCCGGCAATCAATAACAATAAAGATGGAAGCGTTAAATCAATAGAAAACAATGTAAACTTTAAATGGCCGTAAGATTGATAGATTTTAATAACTTTTGGACCAATATGCTTTTCTGTTATAGGCTACTACTTTGTAGTGTGTATGGATAATTATTGATCATTTATTGTTTACATAAAACAAGTATTTAGGTTGTTAACCAATGACAATAAGATTTTGTGTGATATATCATCTGAATTATCTTTTAGTGGTTTATTCTCTGATTTCTAATGTGCTTCCACAACAAAGCAAGCTGTAGAAACAACTGTTGCCTATCTGTTCTTGAATAACATATCAAATTGTGGGTAATAGAAGTTTACATGGATCCAACCGAGGTGTTAACTTATCTGAATTTATGCATGTCTACACACCATCACGGAACCTTCACTGTTGGATGTGCCAAAATTTAAACTACAAAAATCTTTCAGTGATAAATTTGAAAACTCATTTATTTAATTTTGACTATAAGTTACTACCGGTAGTTTGTGAATAGTGTAAAGTGAAAAGAGTTTGCGTCATGAGCATGCATTTGTAGTGAGAACTGATCCAATATAAATATGAAATATTATTATCATTATTTTGTTTTCAGTTTGATGAAAATGAGTAAAAATAGAAGCATGCAGGCTTTACTAATGGTTCACAGTTATGATGTAAAATTTGATTTTTGTCTCTGTGTGGGTAATGTAAATAAGCAATGTGATTACATAAATCTGTGTTACATGAAATATGCATCAATGATATTGAATAGACTTTTTTTTCTGATTCTTTTGTGAGTAAACATGCATTATAAATGATTCTAGATATATTTGATATTTTTATGATATAAGCATGCCCAAATACCACTTCATGCCATAAAATGATTATTTCACCTTCTTCTATGGGTTTCACTTCAACTATGTCATTTTCTACGGGTACAAGAATCTGTTCTTGGTTTCCTAACAAATTAGATAGAGGTCAAAGGTGAAGGGTCAAAGAGAAGAATTCTAAGGATAAATGTATATGTATGCATGCTGTCCATAATGGACGTTTTGATGCAATAAACATCTTATCTTACTAGAGTATAGAGGTCTTGAACTCCAGCTTTAAAGTTACTCATACTTTTGGTACTGAAAGATGGTGCACTGATTAATAGACTGATTATTTTCAAAACTTTATAATGTATTTTTGGGTGGGTAGCTATTGTGTCTAATTTAAATTAGAGGCAAAACAGGGCAGATTGTTCACAGATACCTCTGAAGTCCAAAATATTTTTTATAAACACTTTTTTTTTTTAACCACATCCAAGTAAATTAAACACACTTTCATAAGTTTTGGCTATACGAAAAAGTTTTTGTTTTTACAAATAAAAGTACTTTTTGACTGTGTAAAGTATTAAAGTCTGTTTTTAATCTTTATTCTGAAATGTTGGGGCTATAAAAATTGTTATGTTGTTGACTTGAAGAATCATAAAAAATGTTTTTTTATTTTACCTTCTTCCACTGAATTCTGCATTTGTACTTCAGTCTCTGGTGTCTGATGTGCTTCCAAAATAATTTCTTCAGTTCCATCTTCAGGTTGAGCTGATGGTTGTTTCTTCTTTTTCTTTTTTCCACCTCTTTGTACTTGACATCTAAAATTACAATGGTGTCAATTGTCAAATTACACTTTTGTCTTTGTAGGATAATTTTGCTTGCAGTAATACCGTGTTTTACAGTATGATAATTTTGCTTGAAGTAATATTTTTTACAGTATGATATTTTGCTTGCAGTAATATGCTTTACGGTATGATAATTTGATTAGCAGCTATACTTACTTATAACATGGCATATTTCCTGTTACACTAACAATACTAAAATGGCCATTCGGTCCACCAAGTCGGACATGCTTAGCGTGCCTGTATTCACAACATGTGCTGACTCTAGAATCCATTCTACCATCGACATAGATTGTTAAACTAAACGGATAACCTCGGTGACGATGTGAAACAAATGTAAAGTCACCTGAAAAACAAAATGTAATCAAATGATTACTGATGATTATGATCATTTTCCCAACACAAGAAATAAATAAATACTATTTTTACAAAAAAAGTTCATAGGTGCTTGTTAAATGGAAAATCAGGACCTTCGATCCCACCTTTTCATGTAGAAAGCAGAAAAGCGTTCAGACAAGTTAATTGCCCTTGAATTTGATTATCTCCCTTATATAAAGATGAATATAATAGAATTTATACTATACATAATTTAGCCTCAACTTAATGTTATTTTTGAAAGAGATTTTCCATTTTAAAAACATCTGTGACTGTTATTAGAAAACAGCAGAATTTGAAAGTATGTACACCTTGTTGAGCTACCGTTAAATTGATCTGTGATCTAAAGTAATTTTTAGACTAACATGCATTTTTATAGTATCCTAATCACATGACTAAGGATTGTTTTCCATGTACTTGTGCATTTTTGCCGGTTACATGGAGACAGTCTTATTACATTTGCATAAGACCAACTTTTCCACCAGCGAAACTTGAGTACATGGAAAACGGGCTTATAGTTTAAATGCCGAACGGTGTATTTAGCTTGTCTCAAAATAGCTTGGATATGAACGTCAAGACCACATGTCTGGACACCTAACCCTTTTAAGATTTTGGGACAATTTTTTTCATTGGGTGACCTGATAATCTATTGCCGTTTTCTTAAGAGGTCTATACAGTGCATGACCCATGTGCTGTCCTTGATAACGAAAGGTAAATTTCAGCTACACGTTATTTTTTGTAAAATAAAAGTCTGATTTTATCCAAACATCATATAATACAGCTTGGGACACCAGTCTCCATTTCCAGATGAAGATTGACGGGTTTAAGTTGTTTGAAAACGTATCACGTATTTTGAGTTAGTAGTGGATTAAGGGCTTTTAACACAAAATTAAATAGTTTTATTCTCCAACATATAATCAGGATTAGCCCTTTAATGTATTAAAGAAAAATATCAAACTTACTTTTAGGTAGAAGTTTTTCTTTAAAGACTGTCAGTGTATTTCCACCACAGTGTTGTTGTTCTATAATCACCTGATTTCTAGGATCAAGTTCATCACGAGCAAGAGATAACTTCCATCCATGATATCTCATCGTCACTTCAACCATAGATTGTAACTGACCTGGGTGAACTGTGATTGAGTCCATCTGATGTAAATATGCCTGACCACTAGCCTAAACATACAAAACACGAAAACTAATGATTCAGCTGATGTCAGTAAAGAATTTAGTTTAAGGACTCATCAAGTACAATTCTCTAGTCATTTTTAGGCGATTCTTATTTTCTACAGTTATGTGTGCAATACCCAAACAGCAATATTGCCACCCAAGCTTCTTCAAATTCCAACAGTCAAGGGATCTCTTAAATGCTTTAATACCAATCTGTGTATTGGACATGGACTAAATGACTAGTTACACCTTCTTGGTAAGGCTAGATGCTGTCAGTCGTGACAGAGATGACGGAGAGGGACAAATAAGGTTCAGCATCCACTTGACACCAACTAGGCCATTTTGTATTATCTATCTCCCCTTTAGCATTTCGAGGAAATTGGAGAACCCAGAGAAAACCAATGAGGTTAAGCAGGCCATCCTACTCCTTGTCACATACACACCCATAATCAAAACCACAGCCACTTGACTCAATGACAGACATTATGATCTATAGTTCACCCATCCGAACAGTCAGCCTCCAGCCACGACAGAGACAACAATCTGATTGTGTCTCAGGTTTTCAAACCTTACCATCTGAACAGTCAGCCTCCAGCCACGACAAAGCTAACCAGGAGACAACAATCAGAAAGAAACGTACATGGTATAAATGCTTGATTTGTGAGTATCTCTTAACTTACTGTTCTTCTAGTAGGTGATCTGTCAGACAAACCACCATCTTTATATCTACGAGATCTAGCGGACGTATTGTGTTCTCTTCGTGGAGATTTCGGTGGTAGCGGAACTTGAGTTGTTATATTATACGGTGACATACCTCCACGACCTTGTTCAATCTTAGCCAATGTCATTGCATATTTTCTTAAGGCAGCTGCATTTAACTGAAAATAGGTTCATGGAATAAGATATACTCAGGGAACAAGTCATTTTCAATTGTATTTCACAGCTCTATCAATCAAGCGTCCAGGTTCATGGGATATGCAAATTAAAGATCCAGACACAACCTTATAGTAGTCTGAAATGGGCATTGTAAACCAATAAAATCTTATTATAGATCCTTTATCTTAACCCAGATATCATTCTCCCTTATACCAATATGTGACATGTATTCCTTTAAACATTTTAAGTGGTTAATTATATAATAGGCCATCATTCGATGCTCAGGACTTGTAATGGTATCAGTATCAACATATTAATCTTAAACTCGATCCTCCTTATACTTTTCTATTAATATATAGTAGCTGTTTTCAACAAGTATGTGTTATTACTCTATCCAGTTACTAAATGCATTTAAAAGATTACTGTCAACATATTGTTTTGATTTATGAGTTTAACTTGTCAGGATGCAGACTGGTGTAGTTTTTAAAAAACAACAATTGTTCATCATACTTACTGAATATAACTGTTTAAAATCTACACCATTATCATTTCTATTTTCACCATTTCTTCGTGGCGAGATATCTAAATATTCAACATCTTCTTCATCTTCATCATCGTAATTAGTTGATGTTTTCGTGGATCCTGATTCAGGACGTTTACGCTGAGGAGCACTGATTGGTCGATATTTTCCTTTAGGACTTCCAACAGATTTTGTTGCAGCAGGTCCTGAAATAGGTCGCCGTGGAGACCGGGGTGACAGAAATGGTAATATGTCTTCTTCATTTGGTCTTTTTTCTGATGCCTGAAGAAAGCAAAAAGAAAGTAGGGGTGTTAAATTTTATTCACAAAGGAGTATAGTACCAGTAGACTTATATTAATTCAAATTCAAAGTTTTTAAAGTGACATTCTTCTTAAAAAAAATTATTACTGAATGTATCAACTTTATATTTAAAAAGCAATAAATTTATCTTCTATTTTCATAATCAAATAATTTATGTACTAAATCAAAATAAAGTAATTAAAGATTAATATTCTAATCTTTTAAAACTTCAGAAGAATCATAAGAACCTCTATGCTAGGTTACTAATATATATTAAAATATAATAACACAAAGTGTTAATAAATCTCTACAGAATTCTCTACAAAGGAAAAGAAAAAGCATTATTAACCCTTTAAGCTGGGAGAATAAAGGGAAAAGAAGCTCCGGCAAATGTTTGAAGGAGTTTTCTCTTAAAGTCGATTTCATCCCATTTTTTTTCGTTTCCAGATGGTAAGTTTAACAATATAAAATAAAATGATTTATTTAATCCTTGAGTGGCATTTAACGATTAAGCACATTAAAAAGCCCAAAACAATTTATATGAAAAACAGTCACTGATTTATACACCAGTGATTGTTTTCCATATAAATTGTGTTTTTTTGGGTTTTTTTTAATGATTTGTTCAACAATAAAGCACAAATTGCTTTTATATGAAAAATATGTGTAGCCACTTTATTTATATCAATATATTAATCTACATTTTATTGCTGTTGTAAAATACTAAATATCCCATTTTATGATATATAAGATAAATTGGATGAAAGCCTTTAAAGGTGAACAAGATAATTAAAAATATTATGAAGGAGCTTCCACTAGGTGCATTCGACATCCCTGGTTTATGTACTGTATTATGTATTATAAAACTGTTGACTTTATATAATATATTCATCCCCTATTCTAATAGTATGTGCAGGGGAACTGCACTATACATAAACAAACCTGCAGACACATACTAAACAGGGGATCACGGTGGCTAAGTGGGTAAGGCGCTGGCTCGCTAGCCTGGATTTTCCAGAGTGGTTCTCCCTTGCTAGTGATGCAGGACGGAGGGCCTGACAAGGACAGCTGTCTAGTCGTTCGGATGGGACGAAAAACCGAGGTCCTGTGTACTCATTGGCGTGCACGTAAAGATCCCTTGACAGTTGGAATTCGATATAAGAGTAGGCCGTAGTGCCGCTGTCCGGGCAAAATTTCTCTCATAGCACACTGTATGGCGTATGCCCGTCTTCATTAGCCCAGTTCGGAGCAGAACTGTAGGACATTAAACCCCATTTCATTTCATTTCATTTCATACTAAACATTTATACAGGCTTCATACAAACTTCAAAGGGAGGCAACCCACACACACCCAATACAACGCACAGCAGGTTCATGTATCTTGGGGGGCAAAAGTTTATCATGACAAAATGGATTGGCCAGAAGATTTAAATAAACAATAAACAAAAATTTTTTTTTTAGAGATGTGATGCATATTTTAACTCCTGTAACATTTTTCATAGTTTTTCAAAATTTCTTTGAGTGCTCCTGGCTGAAAGATATCAATTTATTCTAAGTAAATCTTTGCTAGGATTTCTGATAACAAGGTGATTCTAAGGTTATGTGAACATAATAATATTCAAAATTAATAACCTTTTTGCCTCTTAGATATTTATCTTATGCAATGACTCAACAAGTTAATAAAACTTACATTATAACCGTATTAAATTTATATGTACTTAACCAGACATTATAGCTTAAATAAATACTAGATTATAAAATTTGATTGCTTACACTTAACTACCGATGTGTCCTACGATTTAATCTTGATGGCTTAACTACAGAACCATGTTTTATTAGAGAGAACTCATAGTAATCTAGAGCTGAATTCAAATAGAATTTGAATTAATTTTCTGATAATCTATAAGCTTACTGATTATACTCATACATGCATAACTAGTAGCTGAATTGGTAATCAATTTTATTTGGGGTTGGTAGCCAGGTTTCCTACATTTTAGCAGCTAAACGAGGCATTAGGGGTATTTCTCGACTGGTAATAAATATTTGATTGATCAGCCATGATACACATTTTAACTTTCAGTTTTTTTTACATTTGGTTTAAGAACAAAGCAAATGACAGTAACTGTGAATAGCTGAAACTCATTTTGTTCTAATGATTTTCATCTACAAAGAATCTTAATGTGTTTTACATTATTTATTTACACTGCACTTAAACATGAATTTGTCTACATATAAGTGTGGATACAACCATGGACATTTGACATTTTTTAAAATGCAAATGACACACACTTAATTAAGGTATATAGAATAGAACTACTGCTCGACATATTAATAATAAATTTGTATTAAAGGAGACAAGTCTTTAACTCAATATCATCCACATTGCAAACACGACTTATTGGTTAATTTAAATCAACATTGATATTGTCATCTTACTCTGATTCCCTGGTTGTACGTGACAAGGAATAGGATCGTCTGTCTAACCTCGTGGGTTTTCTCCAGATTCGCCAGTTTCCTTCCACAGCTAAAGACCCCTACGTGCAAGCGAATTATTGAAATAAAATTGAACCATACGTTAGTTCCGAAATGACCTGGTTTGTGTCGAGTGGAGGTTAAACCCCATTTCTCGCTCAAGTCTTTCTATCTTACTGTGAAAAGATGGGCTAAATATATCCAGATGCCAAATACTGCCATTCAATTTTGACTCTTTGCATATTTCGCCAAACATAACTGATTAGAAATTACATTAAAAACAGAAGCGATTGAATGTAAATCAGTTTATATACATTCATAATCATATTACATTATTATATGCATTGCAATCCATTTGTGTCCATTTAGCTCCTTTCATTTAACCATGGGGCAACTTCCACTTTAAGTTACAGTAGTTATTTTATACTACTAAATCTACAGTTAGATTATTATGAGTAAAACTCTAGTCTACTAAAAGTCTGCAGGTTAATGTTCTGATCATTCTTGGAAACACAGTGTCTTTTGTTAAAATGTGAACTCTGATTGCCAAAGACAAAAAAATACTTTCTTTATCCTGTTAAATTTAAGGGACACGTCATGATTACGGGGACACTATCAGGATTTAATGGCACAATTCCTCAATGACTAATATGGCTTCTATATGTGTGAAATATTTGGCACAGGCGTAGAAATTTATAGCTACATGGCTGAGGTTTGAAAATAGGGTTTAGAGAAATATGCTATTTGACCAATGGGTCAATTTTTAACTCTGGAGGTCATGACCGCCATATTATGGCCAAGTTGGATCCCATGATTCATAGACGACTAAATTTTAAATCTATGCGACACCTTGTAATAATTTATCAACTGTCTTATCTGCAATCTGAGTGGGCATATTAATAAAAGACAATGTGTGTCTATATCTTGTACCGATTGTGCTCGAGGTAGTAGTTTAACTTTCTGAGTGGAGGTGGGTATGGCACTATTTGGTCGAGATGACCACTTTGTGACAGGTCTTTCTTTTTCTTCTTCCTGATAAATATTGTAAATTATTTTCCTATATATCTAATTAATGTCCTACAAAAATAATTATTTAAAACTGTTTCGTAAGTACATTATTAGAGGTTGTCATGGGAAAAACAACACCAATTTCCACTAGTATTTTAAGGCACCCTTTATAGGAGTAGCTGATAATTTGACATGCTTTTTATTACTAATTATCATATATTCTAGAAGAGGTGCATCTTTAGCTTGATGTTATGCAAATCAGGACCTTTTCCTAGTTATCCAAGCTCGAGTTTTACTGTCAGTAATATATTGGTTAACCATAAATCCAAAATTTCCAAATTAGCATTATATTTTACACCCACATAAAATCAACACATGACGACTTCTGTTATCAATATAGAATTAAATATTATTGATTCTACAAATTCCTGGAATTCTTTAGTCAGAATTCAATACCCTAAAGTGGCAGCAGAATGTCCATCCAGGATTATAATTATAAGCTTCTCGAAAACAAGCCAAGTGACAACATGAATCAACATGATCCATTTTCCAATTATTTGCTTATTAGCAAGAAAAAAAAGAAATTGTCTCAATTTATTAATATTTTAAAGCTATTTTTCCATTACAAAATAAAACATCTGAAACAATGAACAAAAGATTCATTCAGCTACAAAAAAAAGTATAATCAATCTAAACCTTTGATTAAAAGGCAATATCAATATTTGTATTTCACTCCAAAAACATTATTCAGAAATCATCAAGTTATAATACTATATAATGCCTAAAAAAAAAATCTTTAAAAAAGATATTCTGAAAATAGGTCACCTAATATAACACTCTGATTAAACACAGATCCTATTTCGCTTCATTATAGTTTAAAATTTCATTAGTATCCCACTAGAAACATCAACACTGATTGGTTAATCAAATGCCTGACGTCATAGGGTCAAAAGCCAATCATATGACCCCTAACCCGAGCTCCCACTAGAACCGGTCAGATCTTCATGTAGTGGTGGCCATCGAAAGTATAATAAACAAAACAAAATATAGACCTGTGTTTTAATCAGATTGCTAGTAGAAAATTTATTAATATATCTTTATTATAAATAATTCATTCTATGAGGAGTTCAATTTCTATTGTTCTTAAAGTTCTTTAATCAATTTTCATTAAACCTTAAAATTTGTCAAATTATTTTCTAAATTTGTCAATAGAAAACAGAATTATTGTGATATCCTTCAATTACATTTAAGAAAGCAGAATTATAAAAAAACCCCACAATCTTATTGATTAACTACTTGTTTTTAGATAAAGATATCTGTTAGAGTATGGAAACATTTTATGAAATAAATTAAGAAGTAGGTAATCCATAAAGTTAAGAATTTTATTAATACTATAGAATTGAAGAGGTTACAGGAATGCTTGATTCTGAAATGTCAAGTACAAAATTAACCGTATAGTGTTCAGGACTTTAAAATCTACCAGGTATAGATGCCTTTGTCTATTTGATCTAGATCTATTTATCCGCAAATGAAATCGTTTAACTTAATGTACATTCAGCTAATCTTTTTAATTAAACTATAATCATTACCCTTAAGCCTATATAAGTATATATAATCCCTCACCACCCCTTTTTGTTACCCCTTCAAACTGAGTTTTATTCTCAATATCAATACTTGAGAAGTGAAAACAAAAATCATCAATCTTCATTATTTCTTAGAAAAGTGTTTCACATTTGAATTCAAACATGTTACATTTGGGAAAAAACAGTTAAAAGATCATCATTGATTAGAAAACCAATTCCTTTCTAATCCTTCCCCGAGCTTATTTATGGAAGTATACTTGTTGCCTAGCAACTAATACCACGTAAATATTATGGGTTGTTGTTTTACAGAATGGTTGAGGAAGCGTGACACAGTGCAAAGGAAAGCTGCTTGACTAATTATAAACATTATTAATACCTCTAATCAATAAATTGATGACATATTTCTATACTTTGTCATGTACATTGATCATATTACTTATCATTACTTATTTGGTGCCCTAGTAGGGAAGGTCTAGCTTTGCAGAACTACCCCCACCCCACCCCGTCCTTAAAAAACAGTTACTTTGTAAATAAAATGAAAAAAAAATCAAACAAAATCCTGAAAACTAGAAAATCTATTTTCAATTCAAGATTAAGTAACACAACAATCTTTGATTATTTTTCTCAGATACTTGTATTAAAACTATATGGAACTGATCTTCAAAGGTCAGTGCTGTACACTGTTTGTTAGACAAAGAGGCACCAGTCTGGTTTATGTATAGTATATTTGACTATATTGTGAATTTTGGAGAAATGGATAAAGGTTGGAAATAAAATATCCTCTAGGGATGCAAGGAAATTTTAAAGTTAGGTGCATGTGGCAGACAGTGCTTATGACAAGTATTTATAACCAGAAAAGTAGCTAAGAATACAAAAAGGTGGATAGACTTTAAAAGCTATCAACTTATTTCTATGCCAAAATTGATTTCTATCATATCCATATATTATGTCTAAACAGTAAACACGTTTCTATCATTTTTCAAATAGAAAACAATTTTTTGGGGGTGTTTATAAGCGCAGGTGATGTTGACTATGAGATGGTGTGGGTGAATGAACACATACATGTAAAGTACAAGAACGAATGGCAAAAAACAGAACCATAAGAAATGTTTAAGAATTAATCTTCAAACTTACCCGCACACGTTGAACTAGCTCCATTTTTGCAATTTCTTCTAATTTTTGTTTTATAATATTTTGTCTATGGCGCTCTAGATCAAGTGTTTTTTCTACAATAGCCTGGGCTAACAGATTTTTAATGTGCTTCCTATGTTCTTTCCGTGCCGTATTTATTCTGTAGGTATTTTCAGATACAAGATGTCCACTGCGACTAATCTGTTATAAAAGAAATAAATGAATTTGTTTTAAAATGTAAAGATAAAATAGGGGTCACGGTAGTCAAGTGGTAGGGGACTGCATCTTGACTAGAATGTCCCTGGTTCCAATTCCAGGGTCGCCGAAGAAGAAACATTTGATTTTTTTCAAGCTTAGTTCCCATTTGTCAGGGGCAGTGCCTGTGGCACTTGCAAGGAAGAGTTGCCTAGTTCCAATTCCAGGGTGGCTGGAGAAGAAACATTTGATTTTTTTCAAGCTTAGTTCCCATTTGTCAGGGGCAGTGCCTGTGGCACTTGCAAGGAAGAGTTGCCTAGTTGTTTGGATAGGACAAAAACTGAGGACCAACTTTGTACATGTATGCTCTGGAATGCATGTAAAAGAACCTTTGTCAGGTGTAATTTAAGTAGGTGGAAATGTCTCTGCAAAATTCTGCTCCGTAGCTTTGCACATGTGACCATAAAAACAATAATCGTAGGTTAGTATATGCTGACAAGACATTAAACTCCAGTCCTATCCCTTATTGATAAAATAGCTACAACAGCACATATTTTTGTGAACTTTAAATTCATAGTTGGAGATTTGCACACTTAACTTCTAAAGACAAAACATGTTTAAAATTAAATTCAATGTATTCATTTCTTGTTTTATAGTCCTATAGGTCTCCCTTTAAATGTCTGAAGAGTATATGTCAACAAAGAAGATTTACAGACATAACAGCTTGTCATCAACTTGACTTTTTATAATGCCACAGTAAATATTGCCTACTGCGTAAAACAAGTCCATATTATTAAACAATATTTTATTAAATGCAGTGTTTGAGGGTTGCCACAAAGCAGAGGATTTGTAATGTATTAAATGTAAGGACAACAGTTTAGGCCTTGTAACTTGAAAGTTTAAAGTCAATGGAGAGGGGGCAACACAATTTTGATAATTTAGAGTTTAATATTTAAAGGGACATCTAATAGTGTTGATTAACTTATTTGTATCAATTTAAATTTGGTTTTAAAGATCCAATATCCCACATAACTTAGTTCTGTTACATTTAAAAAGAAAAATAATTATTTGTCTTCTCACACTCGGAAATCTGAAGCTTTAAGTTTATGAACTCTAAAATTTGTTCCAACTTGGCTCTGTAAATACTGAGAAAACTGAATTTTTTAGAAGGGGGTAGATATCCTGGACACACTATAGTTATAGTAAAATCTAGCTGGCTTAAGCACCTGTAGTTCACAGTTTGACTTTACTCGAATGATTAAAGGTCAAAAAGCAAATATTTATGAGAAACAGCTATTTCACAGTTAAATAGAAACTTAGGGGCTTTTTATTGATACTAATATTACTATAAGGGAAAAATGGCTCCTTAAAGATATATTTTCATTTTCTATGGTCATTAATTGCTATTATACGATGGCAAAATGTCTTCTAAATTAAATGTACATTCATGTTATTTAGAAGATATCGGCCAGTGCATCGTAGTATTGAATTCAAACTTCTTAATTCTTAAAGTGCACTGTTCAATGTTTACCCGTTTTGATTGATTTGGTTCAACTTTCCCAACATGGACATAAGACTTAATTATGTATAGTAATTGAATTGAACATTCTACATAATATTGAACTTAAAGATACATTATGGGAGATTAGATAAAGAGCTGGCAGTTCTCACTATAATAGTTAAAAACTAGATATTGTAAAGGGAGTTCGCTGAAAATTTCAGTCAAATTGATCCACTCTGATTGAACCGAGATTACAGCGATTGAATTTTCGGTCTATCTTCGCTCGATCATCATTACTAAAGTCGGTACGATAAAAAAGAACATAGTCTCGATTATCCATTTCATGATTAAATCATGAATGAAAGTTGAGCAGCGAATGGGATCCTAATCCAGTAAATATCGAGTTGATTATGGTCTGGATAAGTTAATTAATGTATAATTAATAATTTAGATAACATTTCAGGCCTAAAGAAAGACCTGCAATAGGCAGATTTAGCTCTTGCATAATGTATGTTTAAGTGTACAAAATTTTTTATAGCAGTATTTGAGTGACCAATCACGATTGAAATATGTCACTGCATGTGCACAATATTTATAATGTTGATAAGACAAAACTGAGATTTTATTTATACCCACCCCTAATTGTACTCATTTCTGCAGAACTGTCTGAAATCTATACTAATATTTGTGACTATCGTTTGTCTGTCTGTCTGTTCGGGGTTGGCGGCTACACTAGGTCTGCCCCGAGTCTGAAATTTGGGGTATAGGGGTAGCTCGGACCGGGGAGTAACATAGGCCAGGTGGCGTTAGTCTACCACTTCCGGTTTCGGAGTTATAACCCCCGAGCGAAGCCGGGCATTCTTCTAGTTTAATATAAAATATTTTAAAATGTTTACTGACCAGTCCAACTTTACGGAGATGTTTTCGTTTTCTGGCATTAGCAAAATATCCTGTTAGATGGCCATCTGTTAAACTATTATAGTTGGCCAGCGGGCTGCAACGAAAATAAACAATCAATTTAATTATTAAACTAATCAATATCATTTTTTTTTCGAGAGATATTTAAATATCATTGTCCATATTTAAAGATAGCTTACACATATTCACATATTATTATTAATACACAAATAATCATACATTTTTGGTAAAGTAACGAAGAAATTGCCATTTGCATTGTTCCGACAATGTCTAATTTTTCAAACAAATTGATTATTGAACAAAACAATGTTACTAATGATAGATTAACAACTCATGGTTTCGTTTGGATTAAAAAGAGGCCCATCAAAAGATTTTATTACCACTTTCAGCAAGGAATTTTGAACGAATGGAATTATCAATAATTTTCAGTAATTTTGTAACTTAATCTAATTCACTTTCATAACATGTGCCATACTAGATAGGAGAGTTTTGCCTAGGCAGCAGCATATTTGCCAACCCTTCTTCAGATTCCAACTGTCAAGGGTCTTTTAACGTGTTCAGCCAATTAATACCAAGATATTAAAATTATCATATCACAGTTGGTATTCATTTTAACCTTTTATTTGATAATAAAACCAAGATAAAAATATTAAATGTGACTTTCATGTTTAACACTTATTACAATACAATAAATACTGGTACTGGCATTTGTCTGAAATCTATCAAAGATTTATTTATAACTATAGGGAAAAGTTGGATGAAGATATTAATGAAACCAAATACCAGGTCATTAATAATGAAATGGAGTTTAACGTCCTACTGTTCTGCTCCTAACCTGGGCTAATGAAGATGGGGGTCATTAATAAGCACAATACTGAAATATTATAAAATATCACCCAACACTTTAATAATTTGACAGCGTGATTTGTAACCCCTGTTTAATTATAAATCAACTGTATCAACCTGTAGGTATATTGGGTTATCAGGTAGAATTAATTTAAATGACTACTAGGCACATCAACTGGTGAGAATTACGCTCTACACGCTATGTAAAACTGGGATCTTTCATGACTATTCCTATCTAGGAATTTAATTAACTTTTATTACAGTAGCTGTATGGTTAGATTACTAGGCTAGAGCATGCGATTACAATTCAAGGTGATTATATGACATGTTTTAAGATATTATATTGTCTTGACATCCCAACATGACCTCATTCATTTTTAAGTCCTTAAAGAATATCATATATGTATATATATATTTTTTAAATTCAGTAGGTTTTAAGTTATTTTGGTACATGTCAACTTATGGTGACTTGATTTTCAGATAAAACTGCATGTGATGTAAGGGGCAGATCCAATGAGAGGTTGTTACATTATTGGACTTTTTCTCTTTTATTTTTGGGAAAACCACCCCTTGTATCTGTTACTGAAACCAGAAACAATGAAACAAGTGCTACACTGTGTAATTAACAATTGTAGGTACACTGTGTAGACACTTGTAGGTACACTGACTGTATAGATACTTGTACACTGTGTAGACACTTGTAGGTACACTGTGTAGACACATGTAGGTACACCGTGTAGACACATGTAGGTACACCGTGTGATTGACACATGTACAATAATATAGGTAATTTGAATCTGATTAACATAAAAAATGTTGTGAAAATTAATATCCATGAAATCTCTGCACAGTTAAAGAGGATTATATGGTGATTATCTCACATGGATATAAAAGGGATTATTACAATAAATCCCTGCTTATTCATGAATAATGGCAGACATGTTGAACTGATTTTTAAAAATTATTCAAGATTAATCTCTGCATACAGTTAAAATCCATTCAGTGATTTGATCTATAATTCCAACTGTCTTACCCTGCCACATAAATCCCCTCTCTTTGTCATTATTCATAATCATTTAGGTTTTTTATTAAATGTATTCTTCAAAAGATTATAAATTTTACAAATTCTAAAAAATCTAGAACAATTTAAATATAAAAGTGAATTATTTATAAACAAAATTTTTTGTTTAATAAAATGTTATGCATAAACAAAATCAAATCATCCTCAAATAATATTAGATCTCTCTAATATTTATGTCATGGATATAAAAGCTATTGTGATGTCATTATGACTGTGATGTCACTCTAAGACACCATTTGTCTATGATGTCATATACCATTCATTCTTGCAGCATCTAAAACTAATTACCAGTATAATTCATAATGAGGGTAATATTAATAAGGCTAATTATCTGCATTGGAATTGTATGGAACTAATAAGCTAATTACAAGTAATTGGATAATTAGTCTAAATCAAAGCATGTTCTGTCACAGCAAACTATTTATAAATAAAAAATCTATAGGCTTCTTAGATTAACAAAATATAATTTGCAATTCTTTGAAATCTATATCATCTATTTATTTAAGCCATTGGGATCTCTTAATAAAGAAAAAAAAAACAAAAAAAAACAACTAACAGCAGGAAGGTTATTTATGACTTACTCAGGTTGCTTTTCAATCCAAGGCCTGATATAAAATCATACTTTATATAGTTTATAACAAAATATTCTTCAAATAAATACAAACAGGGAACATATTTAATTGTAAGTGCCGATATTTTTCTGCTGAGTAGTAAATAAAATATGTTTTGATATATTTCATTATACTGGGGCCGGTGGGGGGGGGGAATGGCCGCGTGCTGTATCATAAGGTCTGTATTGAGTCATCTGGCATGGTTTCAAATCCCCGGTTGTACGTGACAAGAAGTAGGGTCGCCTCTCCAACATCGTAGGTTTTCTCCAGGACCTCCCTTTTCCTCCCACTGCTAAAGACCCCTACACACAAGCAAATTATTGAAATAAAATTGAACCATGTGTTAGTCCAGAAATGACCTAGTTTGTGGCCGGTGGATGTTAAACCCCATTTCTCTCTCATTATACTGTACAGTAAATATTACATGCAGTGTATTGCCTATTTACCCACTATATAAACTTGCTATTTGTCACAGAAACATGCTCATATTTGGTTGAACCTTCATCATGTCTAGTTTGCATGAATTTTCCTTGTTCAAGGATTTGAAAGCTGCCATTGAGACCTAGCTATCAATAACAGAGGTTCATATTCTTGACAGCGGTTTGGGGTTATTAATTTGAATTCTGACAAAAAAAAAGAAGACAAAATTTGTAGTCCAATATACTTCAAATATTTTTTGGGGACTGATCTGCAATGATGGGATGAATCATGGTATAAATGTGCACTATCCTATAAGATGTGTGATATACTCCGGATTTAAATATGAATTACTTAATATTGCATATAATACTGTGGATGAACATGTAATATCAATATACAGGTTATTGAATATTGCATGGCAACTACATAAGAGGATATTTAATATGTAATGCAAATTTACAATGCATTAATATCAACATATAATCTTTTTTTCAGTTACTACGGTATATAATTATCCACAGATAAATATGGCATATTGGTCAATCATTTTGATAATAGGTAGATCTTAAATCATTTTTTTTATTTTTAATATTTTTTCATAAAAATTAAAAAAAGAATATCAAGGCCTGGACCTAAGTCGCTTGAGATACCGGTAATAATAGGGTTTTTTTTAAAATTTGTTGGCAGGCTCATATCATATAATCTTACAAATTAACCGTCGACATCGCTGACAATACTTCTGGTTTCATTCATAACCAACTGCTAATAATTAAATAATAATTCACAAAAATAGTTAGTTGTTTGATTTGTCGTAGCCTATTGTGAAAGATACCATCAACGTTAATCGTTCGTACGTAGGAATAAAATAATCATCAGCAGAAATAGAAATACATACCCCGGGCCTTTTTCTGTCTCAGTCATAAGGTGGCTCATTTTGGCCGAAATTAATCCAAAACCTCTCGACTAGAAAACGAAATAAACAATCAATCCAAATGTAACCCAAATCTCATCATCAGCTTGGCATATTTTTCACATTCCCCGTGTTAAAATTCACGAATCTTTCATTATTATGTGTCAATACGGCATCAAAACATTTCGTCGCCGGGGTAGGTCACGTGATCAAACTTTTCCTGTCGTCATCGATCAATAATCACGTGACGTGAAACTATTTGGATTCTTGAACCGGTTTCAGTTAGCGTTATCTGGATAGTCTCGATTAGAGATTTGTCTTTATTTTTGATTTGTGATAATCACGACTACATTCAGTTATTTTTAGAATTAACATGGCCCCCAAAACAAGCAAGCCCGCTGAAAGCAAGGGTCAAAATATTATTATTCGGTTGTATTTAATAATTTATAATATAGCGCAGCTTGCAGGGTAAGTCCAGGAACAGAAGAAAATGATAGATTCGTTTAGATTCTTTATTTCAATTGCAGATTCGCTGAAAACAACTCGTACAAGATGAGGACTTAACGAATGCAAATGTACTCAGGGGGAGGTAACCCATGTCAAAGTCCAAAGTGAAACAAACCTCACAAACCTCTTTTTTGCTCATGAACGATTAAAGGGCCATTATGTAACAGTTCTCGCTGTAATAGTTAGAAAATAGATAATAAAGAGGGTAGCTTGGAAATTTCATCAAATTACTTCACTCTGTCTCTGCTGAGTCGAGTTATCTGCCTCGTGAGTCGATTGCCATGATATGCATGACATTGCTAGTGCTACTACTGACTATGTTGTTACAATAATAAACAAAGCCTTGATTATCCATTTTCACGTTAAATCATCAACAGCATAACATATTTATTTAAATCTACGTAAAATCGGAGCAATGCCAATAGGTAGATTTAGCAAGAGCATAATCAACTCTCGATGTCATCGGATGGCTCCGATATTTAGTAGTTTTGAATATGTTTTGTTGTTGATGAAATAATCAAATAAATGGGTATTCAAGACTTTGTTTATTATCGTAACAATCGTAGTAATGACAATCGAGGCAAGATTATTTATTGAACATGTATCGCCGACAACTTGGCTCACACTCAAGAGTCTTAGAGTGAAGTAATTTGACTGAATTTTTCCGTATATTCCGTTTTCATTATCTATTTTGTAACTATTATAGCGAAAACTGTCAGCTCTTTATCTAATCTTACCTAATGTTGCCTTAATGTCTAATTAATAATTTATATAACATTTAAAGCCTAAAGAAAGACCTGCCTGTTTGAGATAGCCAATAAATTATGAATAAATTATTTTTTTTTTTCAAATAACAGAAGATGGGGCTGTTTAGAAGACTCTGGTCCTAGCACAGCTGACTTGAATACTCAAGCTGTAATTGTGCCTTAACTATTGCAAAAATGCACATTATCTTCAAACACTGCAGTCAAATTTCCCAACTGCCACGACCAGATTTTCAAAATAAATAGAGCAAGTAGGCTGATAATCGTATCACTGACTTTGATTTGACACTGTTGATGGACATTATTTGAAACAGTGCTAAAGTTCTATACTTCATTTAAGTGATTTTAACTTTATTTCAAAATTTTGTCATTGTAAGATTTAATTTTCAAAACGCCAAATGCTACATATAAGGGTTTATGAGGGTAAATATAATACTTCCAATCTGAGCTAAAAAAATAAACAGCTAAGAAAACCCCAAATTAAAATTAAAATGTATTTTAATCAGTCATCTGCTTTGGTAAAGATACCTCACCCATCAGCCCATGTGCTTTTTAACCAGCTATTTCCCTTTGCCATTCTCTGGGTTCTATAAAATGAGTCATTTAATTGACATGCTTTATGATATACTTTCAGATGGGCCTTTCTTATGTTTAAAATGGTTCAATTCTGGTTGAAAAATAAGACACATATTGGATTATATCAGGAAGTAGAACAGATTGTCCAGATATTTCAAACAGCAGCTATTTTAGAGGTAAATTACCAGATACCATTGTTTCTTATTAAATCAACAATGGTTATGTTTCCTCACTAATATTCCAAATATTTCAGCTCATTTAAACATACATGCAATCTAAAAAAATATTTTGGGTTATTTTTTCGACCCTTTAAAATTATTTTTTTGTGAAAGTATATTTATAATAACCAATAAAAATCAAATTATGAACTCAAATTACCTACATTTGTACTAAGTGTACACCAAAAAGTTAAGCAAGTTAATTATTACAAAGTGTCAACTACTTAGTCTGACGATACTATCTTACACGTAGATGTGCTTCACAAACATTACTAGATAATGGAGGCTATATTAATTAAAACGTGTATATTGTTGTTGAAAAACTTCCTGTACTCCAAGTCACATAAATGGCTGTTAACTACCGTATTTTTCGGTGTATAAGGCGCATGCGTAGATAAGGCGCAGGGCGACTTTGGTAGAGGTGTTTCAGGAAAAAAAAAATATGCGTGGCTTAGGCGCACCCTTTCCCAGCGCGTGTGAAACTCGTGCCATAGCATATGTGACTCAAATCCACCTGCGATCTCCAGTAACTAGGTCAAACTCTATTGTTTACAGTTATAATAATTACCGATATTTAGCCGTATCAAGCTTTATATAATTATATTTCTTTATGAAATAAATTGCTTTTGTTACATTTGTTTATATTAATTATAACACGCAATTGCATTATTGCATAACTTTCAGCTGTAATTCTGTTGCTCGTACGGTAGTGAAATTGTCATTCAAGTCCCGCCCACAACAAACATGGCCGTCTATTACATCGTGTTAAATTCGTGAGTAATTGTCTGTGATAAATGAATCGGTTTTGATGATAAACAAATTAAATAATACCTGTAGAAATAATATATCATGATCAGCTACTCACAACTTAAATCCTGACTACCGGTAAAAGAGAAACAACAATTCCAGTTTACTCCAAGTTATGCAAACAACTGACAAACGATAGCGTCTGTTGCCCCGCCCACTTCACGCGTCATGACAATACCCAGATTGTAGCCATTTAGATCTATCAGTAAAATAATACAATAGCATTTTTAATACCAATCAAAAAAACAATGATTTTGTCAATTACAAACAATTTCATAAAGAAAACGGTAACAACTCACTGGTAGATAATTAACTATACTGGTAAAATAATACAATAGCATTTTTAATACCAATCAAAGAAACAATGATTTTGTCAACTACAAACGACTTCATAAAGAAAACGATAACAACTCACTGGTAGATAATTAACTATACCGGTAAATTATAACAATGGGCCAATCACTGAATCCATGTTGAATGAAAACCGTCGGTAACTTAAAACGGTTACTAAAAGACAGTCTTGCTCAAAGAAAACACCCCGATGTATATAAAACACCAGTGAACATTCCATCATTCTTAAAAATTATTTATTCAGAATGGCTACGAGACGAACCGCTTATACCGCTAAGGAGAAGTTGAGGGTAATTAGTTACGCTGAAGCACACGGTAATAGGGCCGCGGGTCGTGAATTTAGTTTGGGGGAGTCAAACGTGAGACGTTGGAGGGCGATGAAGGGGAAACTTACCGACATGAAACCTAGTAAAGAAGCGAATAGGTGGAGCGCCGCACGTTATCCTCAAATTGAGAGAGAATTGGTAGACTATGTGAATGAGAGGCGTCAAGAAGGTTTGCCCGTTTCGACAACAGAAGTCAGACTAAAGGCACTATTGTTGGCAAAGGGCAAAGCCAAATATGCAAGTTTCAATGCAACATCAAGTTGGGTGTACAGATTTCTGAACCGACACGACCTATCAATTCGTAGAAGAACACATATATCACAGAAACTACCACAAGATTTTGACGACAAACTAACCAGTTTTCAAAAATTCATCATTAATCTAAGATCCAAGCATGATTACACCCTGGATCAGATAGGAAATGCAGACCAGACCCCACTGACATTTGATTTACCAAGTAACACAACAATCCACAAAACAGGAGAGAAGACAGTCAACATTAAAACAACCGGCAACGAAAAGAACAGATTCACAGTGATGTTGGCCTGTACAGCAGATGGCGGAAAATTACCACCTTACGTCATATTTAAAAGAAAGACCCTACCTAAAGGCATGATATTTCCAAAGGGCATTATAGTAAAGACACAGGAAAAGGGTTGGATGGGCGATAATTTAACAGCTGATTGGCTTGAAAATGTATGGGGGAAGAGACCTGGAGCTTTGAGAAAAAAGAAGGGCCTTCTTGTATTGGATGCCTTTAGATGTCATCGATCTGATCGGTGAAGACAGACCTCAAGAGGAAGTACTCTACTCTACCGACTTAGTCATCATTCCTGGGGGTATGACCAGTATGCTTCAACCATTAGATGTATCAATAAATAAACCAATGAAAATAAAACTTAGACAGATGTGGTCCGACTAGATGGCAGGCGATGAACATTCGTATACGAAAGGGGGCGCCAGACGAAAACCCGAATTAAACGTTATATGCACTTGGATACTAGAGGCGTGGAAGTCGATCAATCCAGAAATCATTATTAAATCCTTTAAGAAATGCTGCATATCAAATGCTATGGATGGGACAGAAGATGACATGTTATGGGATGAAATGGTAGAAAAGGAGCCAGCAAATAAAAGAAGAAAGGTGGTGGAAGAAGATGACGACGACAATACTCAAGATGACATCGACATTTACTACACAGACGAAAAAGTACCAGGACTTGAAGACGCCGACATTCTTCGTATTTTTGAGGAAGAGGACGAAGAAGAAGAATTTAATGGTTTTACCAAAGCAGATATCAATATAAAATAACTTTAAAATAAAACAAAAAGTGATATCTCAAATCTATACGTGTCTAAAACTGTGCCGTGCTATAAACCGAAGAAGCTGTATGTATGTTATATCCATATTTTATTATATCTATACTGTGCCTATAACTATGCTGTGCTATACTGGTGAACCTGTTTGTTTTTATTATATGTTTTTATTATACTTGTGTTAATTTTTTATGTCATTAAAATATATTTTAGTCGATGGCTTAAATTTGTTCTGTTCTTCGATATATTCTGCAAGTTTAACTGTAATCCCGCCCATTAACGCTGTCATTGTAACAGACAATACCCATAACCTATGGTATAATGAGCGTGTGCTCAATGGAAATTACCCTTCTAATAGCCAATGAAAACTCTTTGTCTGTCGTAAGCCCCGCCTTTTCGTCAACTTGACTGATATCACCGTTAACGACACACTGTTTGGATTGCCGACAGTGGCTAACTGTACTGGTAAACGGATTAGCAGAAATATATGTCATCAAATACGCAGGAATAATAGAAATATTAACGAGAATTTTGCAGATATTGTTAGCACTGTCGTTTATGACTAACGGTATACAGAAAAGCCGGAATAATAGAAATATGACTAACGGTATACGGAAAAGCCGATACCGTATCTTAAATGGCCGCCATATTTATTGCACGAAAAATGACGACATCGGAATGTCGGAATAGCAGAAAAATATGTCATCTAATTATTTACGATATCTTTGCAGATATTTTAATAACACTAAACCGCTATTGACCCATATTGTTGCCACTGTCGTCTATGACTAACGGTATACGGGATATCGGTATGGGAAATGGCCGCCATCTTTATTGCTGTTGTCGATATGATCAACTTCAGACCTCGATGTTGACACACAGAAAAGCCAAGATTTGCTAAATACTATGTATTAGGCGCACCCCTTCTAGAAAATAAAATACCTGGTAAAAAAAGTGCGCCTTATACACGCCGAAAAATACGGTATTGAGGTAATTTTAGGCTATATATGGAGCAGTAATTTAGAAAATGATGTAAAAGGATCCCTTTTCTCTCATTTATTCATAAAACTAGGGTATATACTTGTATATACCACTCAGGTACTAAAGAGGTAAACATGATATTAAATATTATCAATTTATTTATAGGTTTTACATTGTGCTGTAGGATTTGTGAAATCTAGTGTTGTTTTAACAGCATTTCAAGTTGCCTCTAGAGTATTTTTAGTTTGGGGTGTGGTCTTCAGTGTTAAACAGGTAGGTATATGCACACAGACAATCTCATGGAAGTATTTTTTATACGCCCACATTTTTATGTGGATGTATATTGTTGTGGCCCCTGTCCGTCCAGACGTCCACAATTTGTTTGTGGACACTCTACAGGTCACAATTTTTATCCGTGGTCCCCAAAAACTTTTAAATATATCACTGTTACATCATTATGATGGTTGAGTTTAAATTTCATGAAATTGGACCGAAACTGCCGGACAAAATGGCCGCTCCCTGTACGCAAATAAGTAATATCAAGGGTGTGATCCAATTTTAATGGTTCCTTCAAACCTGGATTATTTCCCCTGTTTGAACAAAAAATGCGATTTTAGCTTGTTGACCCTCTAGAAGTCAAATTTTTATCCGATTTTAAAAATCATTACAATACTTCATCGTAACACCCTGATGGTGATTGAGTTTGAATTTTGTAACAATCGGACCGTAACAATTCTTGATGAAACTTAAAATATATGTTAATATCTCAAAGATCTCAGTTCCTTTGGATATGTACACATATCAGACCATAACTTAATGGATTATGATCCCTGATTGTACCCTCTAGAGGTCCCAATTTTTGTCCGAATTTTGATGAAACTTAAAAAATATATTTATATCCCAGAGATCTTAGTCCCTTTCGATATTCATGCATTTCAGACCATAAATTCTTGGATTATAGCCCCTGATTGTACGAAAAATCGCATTTTTTTTTTTTAGCTTGTTCTCTAACCATCTCTTGCAAAATGTGTCTGTGTCTTGCCTGGCAACTGCTGGTTTATTGATATATCAACACAAGTCCTAAATTAAAACTGCATGAGAAAAAATGAAACAATTTAAGACTCTATTTGATAGCAAATTAGGAAATATTAGTCAGTGATGTATATACAAACGTTATGTTTTAATATATTTTAGGTTCAATCCAGTCCGTCCGTTGTTTTGTTTTTGTTGGCGTGGAGTTTAACAGAAATTATTCGTTACTCATTTTATTTCTTTTCTCTGATTGGCAGTGTTCCATATTTACTTGTTTGGTGTAGGTAAGTGGAATTGTGATTTTCTTTGCTATTTTCAAGAGTGAGGCTATCCTTAAGACTTACTTGTTTCCGTTGAACTGATTTTTTATCGGTGATCACAATCTATTAACAGCATTCACACAACTATGTTAGCCCATACAGATGTCTAATAAATTGTTTCAATGGCATTTTGTAATTTTGCTCAAAATAAGCAGTTACCCCATCCGACTAGAGTGCAATATATCGAACAGCCACAAGAAAATTTGAATCTGCATTTACAAAATCTCATAGATTTGCACCAATGAAGTGAATGACAAATTGAAAAGTCTCCACCCCCTCTCCCCCTTTAATTCCTAGCAGAAGATAATGCATTAGTATCATATACAGATAAACCACAGGAGAGCTCTAGATTATGAATGTTACTTCAAGACATGCCATTAAGTTTGAATTTAACCCAGATTTTTGACTTAGTCTTGACATATCCATTTTCTTGTTGAGGAAATGTATTTTACATATTCGTACATAAAGTAAAAGTTAACAAGGTAATGTCATGTCAACCGATTTTTACATAAACATTAACAAGAAAACATCATGTCAGCATATTCTTACATAAAGTAAACATTAACAAGAGAATAACAGGTTATAATCCTTATTTACATATTTTTTTGTATCAAATTAGATATTTTTTTAATGATTCAAATTGATCTATTTGTAGATATACGTTTTTCATCATACTTTATCCAATTGGTGTTCTGGTAAGTATATTTACAACTGCATCGAGAGATTACTTTATATAAGCTGCGGTTTTTAGATAATATAATTATATATATTGTATAATATGCAAATATTTATTGAATAAATAGTCTTAGAAAAGAAAACTGCATGTAATTAGATATAAAGGGCCAAACAGCACCACATTGACAAAATGGTTGAAGGGGTATTATCAATCACAGTACGACTGACTACTGCTTAAATTGTATAGCTGCTTGCCTGTAGGTCTTGTTACCTAGCAACTATCTCCAAAATACATAGTTAACCTTGCATTGAAATAACTAGTGTCCTGTTGGAAATTAATTTCAAGACTGCAGTGTAAATCATCTATATGCTAAGCTCTATGTTTATGAAGCATCACATTTAAAGAACATCAGAAAATATCTGAAGTTGGATCAACTGATCTTTTTTGACATGCTTAAGGATTTCTCCATCCAAGTCAGTGCAGTGTAAAGTGTGAGTAATTGTTTATTACTTAATTAACAGAGTGAATGTATTGTTTATAGGGTGAATTGTTGACTATATGGGGTGCTATACCAGTTGTTAAAGAAACCAACTTATACAATCTAGACCTACCTAATCAATATAACATGGCATTTAATTTCTTCTATTTTCTCTGGTTCGTAATACTCATGTACATACCAGGTAAGTTGTCATCTTTAATACAGTTTACACTTCTATTTATGTACAAACTGCTGTGAAAATTAATTAGTTGTCCAGCATGTATAACCATTTGAAAAGCCATCTGGATAATGTAATAATGAGAGTCACATAAAAATGTAAACATTACATGACAGTAATTCCTCGTTAGAGGTACCCAAAAGTTGTGGTAGGAAAATAACGTTGGCACATAAAATTAGGATGTTAAATCCCATTTCATTTCCTGTAGTCCGGATAAACGTACACCAGGAGATGTTACAACACAATCTTATTAAATATGACCAACTGTTTAGAGATGTTTATTTGTTTAAAATATAGATCCATTTATAAAGCTGGAATCTTGTTACTTGAGTAAAATAAGTTCTATGACACCACCCAGCTTGGATTCTTGATTTACAGTCTTGATATGCCATAATCTTGGTTGTCATTGTTGATTTATGAATCGGTTCTTTCGACATTCAAATTCCATTTACTTGTCTTTTTGTCTCCTGATTTGACTAGTCTGTAATGATGGCATCTACATGTAACCGTATGGCTTACTGTGGATACTTCACATGAATGAAATAAATGATGAAATAAATCTTCCATTACCCAAGCCCCATATCCCACCCCTCTCCCTATCGTTAAAAATTTATTTTGAAATTTCTACACCCGATAATATTCATTTCAGTATTTCCACAGTTATATCTACACATGTTACGACAGAGACAGAAGATTGTAGGTGGTAATTCTAACAAAGTTCGTTCTAAAACTGATTAATAATTCTTATAACAGCATTCATTTAACTTGATATCAGGGTTAACATTTATAATTTAAAGGTTGTAGACTATCTACATAATAGCTCTTTTTTTTGTGTGTGTCCTGGTTGATTTTTTAAAATCTTTTTCTATTTTTATACTAAAATTATATATGACAATATATATGTTGAGATAATATGAAGGAATTTAGCGCTTGTTGGGCTATCTAAATATAGGAGTTGATTATGAACAGATTTTAAGCTCAAACACCAAAGAGTTGATGGCTTTGCATAGTTGATGTAATACAAATCAGCCAATATAGCCAAGATATGGGCAAGCATGTGTCACATTATCTGTAACATGTTGAGAAGTTTGCAAATTAATGTGACAAACGATATCATTTCGCAAGACAGATCATGAAAAAATGAAATTAAAGCTTGTTTAGTTGATCTAAATCTGCATAATGCTCTTTAAGTAAAACCTTGTGGGTTTTCTCTGGGTCCTCCGGTTTCCTCCCACTGCTAAAGACCCCTATGCGCAAGCGAATTATTGAAATAAAATTGAACCATGTGTTAGTCCCAAAATGACCTAGTTTGTGTCGAGTGGACGTTAAACCCCATTTCTCTCTCTCTCTCTCTTTAAGTTTAAGTAAAGCCTTTTATTTCTGTTATTTGTTCTACCTATAAAATCATATCTTCATCATGCTGCAGTTTAACCATATGAAGAAACAGCCTTAAATTGATCATCTTTGTTGATTTGATTGTTAATTATTATTTGAGTTGCTATCATGACAAATTGAGTATGTAAAATTTGAACAAATAAGCTTATACTGTAGGCAAAGGGTAGATTTTAGACACATCTAGATTTGCTGTCATCAAACACCACCAATGTGATTAATACTCGAGCCAGTATATTAAAGTATATGTATAAATTAAATTAATATTTTATATGTGAACTTCAGTAAATATTTTTTAACTTTTATAGCATGGCCATCAGCCATTCAGTAGGTACATTTAGGTAAATTGTGAAAATAGCTGGCAATGTTTAGAAACTTGCATTTATTTATACTTTATAGTAATAGGATGTGTTCTATATCAAATAATATTTGAATTTATCATCTATCTTACTGTTTATTCAATTGCATTATCATATCCTAATAAAGTCATTTTATTGAAAGTCTGCTTATTATTGATAATGTTATAAACATGTACCTGTAGTCTTTATTATACATGTAGTCCTTATTTAATGACTGAATTGGGAATCATGTGGCTAAGTGGGTAAGACGCTGGCTTGCTAGTCTGGAGGTCGGGTGTTCGATCCCTGCATTGGCTGAGAAAGTTCATCCAGATTTTCCGGCGTGGTTTCCCCTTGTCAGTGATACAGGACAGAGGGCCTGACAAGGACAGCTGTCTAGTCGTTCGGATGGGACACATTGGCGTGCACGTAAAAGATCCCTTGGCAGTTGGAATTCTATATAAGGGTAGGCCCGTCTTCATTAGTCCAGGTTAGGAGCAGAACAGTAGGACATTAAACCCCATTTCATTTCATTTAATGATTGAATTAAGGTAATTAAAAACACAACTTTGAAATGTCATACAGCATTTAATTATTAGGCTTGCTTGATTTGTCCGCCAATAAGCGAGACGGTTTGTACAAGGCGTAAGCTGGTCAGGTTACCGTATCAGAGCAAATCAAATGATCCGGCTGATAATAAATTTGGCGTTGGATAATATTATAATATTAAACCGGTAACATGACATGTTTTAATAACAATAGGTTGCCAGGCAACGAAACATACGCCCACAGCAGCTAAAGCGTCCGTGCAGTCAACAAGAGTTGTCGCATATTTTTACTTTTTTCGGTAATGAAACATTTATGATACAATAAAATCTGATTAAAAGTAACAACTCATTAAGTAATTATCAAGTTCTGTCACATGCTAACGTTTAGAATACGAAACATTTAATATCATGGATTTAGCTGTTCATCAAACTCTGTGTATCAATCTGAAGTCAATCGGATGATAAATTTGGCCATTACGCTGGCAGTAATTATCGCTGAAAATCAATAGGCTTCTTCGTCTCATGACCTTAAACACTGTATATAAATTTAAAGTCAATCGGATGTTAGCTTTGGCCTCTAGAGCGTCCACAAGCAATTGTGGACGTTGGACCGATGGATGGACGGACGGACGGGGGCGACAACAATATACGACCACATTTCAATGTGGGTGTGTAAAAACAGTATTCATGAAAGCATTACTATAAGTAAGTGACCGCAAAATAATACAGAAAATTATTTGTAGTATTACCAAAAAAAAATATTAAATAAATGACATATGAACACCTGGTTTTACGTAGCCTTAATTCAACTTTAAAGCATTTGGTTTAATTTTAACGCTTTAATATTCCTAACTAACATGAATTTTATGTTCATCATCTTGCGCCGGTGATCGCCGCTGCCGACAAAGCGGCGCATTCGGCGTACGCCGCGGCCGAATTTTTGTCGACTTCTGGTTAAATCAAGTGACCTCGCCGGGGAAACTGCCGAACTGTGGTCAGCCGGTATGCGCCAGTATGGATAAATCAAGCAGGGCCATTGTCAGTAGCTATGATGACACCTAGCTATGATTTGATTGAGTGACTAATTAGCAAATTAAATGTTACAAATTAATACTATTTGTGAGCAGTAAAATACAACAATAAACTGCAAATTCTATTACTAAGTAGAATAAAAAAAAAACAGAAGCAAGGTGAGAAGTTGTTCCTGCACTAGCTACGAGAACGTAACTAAAAACGCTGAGATATACTGATGTGCTTGTTTTTAGCGACGATTGGATGCCTTTAGTTCCAAGTGGCAAACTCAGTTTCTTTATTAATGCATGTACCATCTTAAAAATAAGTTAATTTTATACTATTAGTACTTATTACACATACGCAGTCCAATCTACTGAAACAACATTCATTTATCAGCAAATATTGACAATAAAGTAAATCGAGCATTGGTTTTTATCAAAATTGATTCGGACGTTCATAATTACGGCTATTACTACTGTGCAACTCTGATCAGATTAGTACTTTGATTGACTATTGCACACGAGGCCTTGCCTTTATTTGTTACAGACATAAATTTAAAATGTCGGAAAAAGCATTCTACTGTCGCTTTGATTTAAAAAGAGGGGATTTGCACCCCAGTCAGGTAGGATTATATGCTTAATTGTAGTTGGGTGTGGCAGAAATATTATAAATAACAATAATCAATCTTTGTTTTGATGAAAAGTATGTCAATTTTGTTTACTAATGCCGGATGCGAATCGCTCCCACATTTGCTATGTTGAAGTTAATAGGACCTCGAAACACGGAGGGTTGAGAGATGAGGTTTGTTATCTATTCCTGCACATGCATGTGACTTATAGACAGGTTTATCCAGAAATAAGGTGATTGTTCCACAGTGTATGTTAGTATTTCTTTGTAAATGTATTAATATGATGGATTACAAGGGCCACCCATACACAATTAAGTTATGTTTATAGCACAGCTTTCATGAGTTAACGGGTTTAACCAGAGGTCGTAGGCCTCTCTTCTCTATATGATTTCTACTAAAACCAGTGCAAATCAGCAAAGTTGTGCAATAACTTTGTCACATGTTCAATATGTCTAGTTATTGCACGGTTAAGCTCCACCCAATCCACTTATTCACTGAAATGTCTGTAACTTCATGAAGATTCCTGGGTTATGAGTGTCCTGCAGTAGTCGAACGCAACTGGATTTACGACTACAATGTTCCGAATTTAAATCCCAGTGTGCCGACAGGATTATTTCAAGTCAAACCTGCTGGGTTGAGCTCGATGTCTGACAAAAATAAAATGCCTGTTTAGACAGGACTACCCCCCCCCCCCCTCCATTGACAAATTTGTGTGCACTCAATAGATTCCAACCAAACTGGTTGCTTTACCCTGTAATTGGGACAATTTTCGACTTATTCTCCTCAACTGAGGTGATGTTTGGATTTGTTCAATTAAAAACGTTACTGGGCTCCAATGGGGCATGGCAAATTCGTAAAGGGGTAAAATGTATTTTAGCTAAACATAGAATATATTGCCAGGATTGTGCTTATTTAGATTTTTTCAAATGAAGCTGCATATTTTGACATTTGTTTTACTTATAATTTGCCATTCATATTCTCATTAAGTGACATCTTCAATGCGCATTCTCTACAATAATAGGCATTGGGTTCTTGTTATATTTCCTCTAAAAATTACTGGTTGTAGTACGAAAATGTCCTGGTGCTAAATTATATGAAATAACAACAGCACAACATACCTTGGTATTTTATATTTTTATTTACGTCTTCGACCCCACCAATTTTCAAATAACAGTCTCTTGAACATCTAAGCTCAGTTATGTCTTACTAAATATTCAATTTTGAAGTCACATATGCAACAATATAATAATCTATTATTAAAGGCCATTCATTCCCAACAGTTATTTAGGTTAATCAGCCATAAATAATATGATCAATATATGTAACAGCATTGTGACCTGTATTTTTTAAATCTATCAAATCCATATTCCACAGTATACTATAATAAGGAATGTAAATCTCTATTTTTAGTAATATTAAATAATGTAGATAAAACTTTTTAGAAGTGCTTGGAAAGGTGCATGTCTGTCTTCAGGTAAAATAAAAACCCAAGACAACCAAACCTTTATATTAAATTATATTCTTTAAGACAGTACATATTTTTTCTCTATTTCATTTCCTTTTTGATCACATTTCAAGGGACTGTTATTTTCAAATATATTTCCTTTTAATACGCCAACATGTATTGTGGACTTGCACTGTCGTCAGCTGTGCCAGGCATCCAACTTTGCTTGTGAACACTATACAGACTACAGTTCCTAATCTCACCATTTAGTCAGATTAATGATAGAGAGTACTAGAGTGAATTTGATTATCTATAATAGAATATATGAAAGAACCCTACTGATTTATTTTTTCACATAGTTATCTGGACTACTCCAGACAAAATTCTAACTTGGATTTGTGCATTGATGCAAAAGAAGAAACAGTATTGATTTGGAGAATTTACTTATAATTATCTCATGATTATGTTTGACTTTTAAAGCTTGTACATGACAGAATTATAGAGTTTTTTAAAACATGGTTGGATTTTTTTAAAAATCTATACAACAGGATTTGTTGAAATTGATTTTAGAATAGGTCGACTTCTCTCCAGGTCTGTTTCATTGACCCTGTTAACATAAACTTCACTTTATTTAAATATATATCTCTAAAATTTAACAAAATACACAAGATATGAGAATAACATAAGATATGGTTAAATATATACAAAATGAAGATAAAACAGTAATTAATTCAAAGATGAAGATTGATAGATATAATGTCTTGTAGACACACTTCCATTAGACAAAAACAAATCATAATACAATGTTGATATCAGACCATTAGGTTTTAAAAAGGGAACCATTTTTAATTAAACAGAGTGAGATACTGTTAATTCTGGTAATATGATTTCACCTATACTGGCACCATTTTGATTTCTGTACTGGCCTTAATCCAGTGCTTTAACTTGATGCAGCTCCCATTCTATAGAAAAGATGTATGTCTGAATTTATCAATCTTCATAGTTGTCAAATGTAAAAAGCACAGAATATATTCACCCTTGACAGACTACAAATCTTATCAACTTGTCCCTATTAGTACTTATTACAAAATAAACATTATTTTAAACTTAGTTTATTTGACTACAAATGGCCCCCTGTTACATATAACAATTTTATATTAATAATAACAATATTTACATATGTATAATAAGTACATGTTGTTGGAAAATATGTGACCACAAAACACATTCCATTTATTAACAAAATCAACACTGCAGGGACTAAATTTTCTGATTCTAAATTTTTGATACTGGAATCTAAATGCTAAGCAAATAGATTATTATTATTCTATATTAATACTTGTATAATAATTATGATTATTAATAATAAAAGAAAATTATCCAAATCAACTACATTGCAACATTCTATTTTATAAAGCTTTTAGCCAGTCATTTGTTCTAGTCACATATTTCCAAGCATATCAATTGATGAACTATACCAATAGTTATATGTACTAAAATTCCCTCTTTCCTATGACATATCCAAAACTACAAATGTGATCACATCATCAGTGCATTTATTACACAAAGTTACTAATAAAAGAGTTGTTGGAAATCATTTTGAATATCACAAATATTTCTTTTCTGTCAGTTAAGCATATTTTTCTCAATTTGAGAAAATGAAAAACCTTCTGGCTTGAACATAATGAACAGATTATAGTTCTCCATTGTTCTGCCATATATATAACCTGTGGTTAAACAGATTATAAACATAAAACTTAGTCGAACAGAAATGTTAAACGGGACAATAGTAGGAATTTAAACATATAATAAGACACAGACAAAATCAAGTTTAGTTCCATAAAAAAAATCACCTCTAATTTTCAAAACATAAAACACATTCCTGCTTGTACCAAAGGTAATGCTCCATGTAAGAGAGTTGTCTTTTTCTATTTTAAAATGTCTATCGTGTGTACACAAATATACATTCTCGGCATCCCCAGTGGTCTCATTCCGTTCCACTCCACTCCACCCTGGGTTCATCAACGGATATTTACGTATGCAAATTATCTGCCCTAAATAGTGGCTTGATTCTATGAGCCAATCAAAAAACAGTTTATAAACCAGTCTTAGCCTCAGTGTTTACATTCACAACAATATGGCGGTTTGTTCGCTCGATTATGAGAAAGTCTGCAATAAATTTAGTATATAAGAAGTGACATACGTGCTAAAACATCTTTTCGATGGGAAAGATGTTTTTATGTCAGTCAAAACAGGCAGTGCAAGTCGTAATGCTATCAAGCGTATTGGCAGATAAAAATAGAACAATCATCAAGGGCAGATAATCTGAATACGTGTCTTGCCCATGGATGAACCCCGGGTTTAGTGGAGTAGAACGGAATAAGACCACTGGGGATATCAAAGATAACAAATATACAGTTTGTTTATCAAACAGTATTAACATTAGTAAACAAATAGAAAACCTAAATGTTTGAATGTAACCATAACAACAAAAGCTAGTCACCATATAACTTTTTTTATTGGTTAATATACTGAATCTAATTTTATCTGTGTGTTGACATATTTTCTTTTTCTTCTCAGAATTTTGTCAACCTAACAAGGTAAATAGATTTTAAAAATAAACAGAATTACAAATTCAATTAACAATTCAGGACAACTTTTATGGCCCCCATAAACAAAGCTAATAATGACAATCTTTCAGCAAAAATATTGAACATATTTTCTCAAACATACAAGAATGAAATATAAAAATTTACACCACATGAAGTACCTATATACATTTAAATATACATAATGAAAGAGAATTAACCCAATTTAATAACAAAAAAAAACAAAACAACCAAAACACAAGCTAGAAAGAGATGTTAGAAATAATGTTTAACATTTGCCAGGTCCTTTTGGTACTAATAAATAGTCATTCATTACATAAGGCAGGACAAGCTTCCTTATCAATTCATGACAGCAAACTCCTTTGTGAGTGCTAAATATAAAATATTGTAACCAGCTTCTTTCCCTTTTTTTAATCAAATAACTTATAATATTATTATTAATAGGCCTTCGATAAGTCTCAACCATTTAGTTTGTAAAATTTATAAATCTAGTTGAGTTATCTCCTCTGTTACATGATTCAAAGTTGTACACACTTTGAGAGTGCTCGATTGTCAGTCCAGATATTGTAACCAGCTTCTTTCCCTTTTTTTAAAATCAGATAACTTATAATATTATTATTAATAGCCCTTCAATAAGTCTCAACCATTCAGTTTGTAAAATTTATAAATCTGGTTGAGTTATCTCCTCTGTTACATGATATAAAGTTGTACACACTTTGAGGGTGCTCGATTGTCAGTCCAGAATTGCTAGAATTGAGTTCTCTCACTGTCCCGAAAAATAGGTAGTGTTAGTAGAATCGTGGTGTAATTAAGCATTTCGGCAACAGTGATTGGCTGTCATCATAGATTCAAAGTTGTTAGCAGTCTTTGCTGTTTGCACATTCAAGGTATGTGTCAAAGGGAGATAACTCATTTATCACTTTCAAGTGTTAACCAGGTTATTGCATGATTTTGTAATAGTAATAATCTTGGCTTCCTTAAGATCACACGGAAGTCAAATAATATAATGAGAAAAGACAAAATTGTAAATGCATTGAATATCCATTGTTCATTTTCCCATGTTAAAGATTATGATATTCAAACATGAATGTAATTTCTAATATACATGTATTTTTGTGTCATGATAATTGTGGTCCAGATATTAAACAATGTGGTACTTTTAAAAGTCTTTAGCTTTGTGTATTATTATTATACATGTAGTGTACACATAAACAAAACAAAGCATATCTTAACAATAATAAAACAGAATATACAAATATAATTTGTGGAATTAGTCCATCTTTAAGTTAACGTAAATATAGCGAACAAATTTTAATGAAGCAAAGAAAGAGACCGTACCCAACATCAGGAAAAACACATAACATGTCAGAAACGTGTAGCCGAAGAATTCTATAGACTGCAATGCTCCAGACATATTTGATCGTTTAAAATAATAGAATAAGGCGTAGAGAAAGACGAACATGCCTGTTGACCTGAAATCAAAACAAAACAGAATAAAATGCTTGGAAACGTGACTACTGGTAACTACTCAATGAGTCTAGATGTCACATGAAAAAAATGACACCTTAGTGAGGTCTAGGTCAATTCGTCAATAGGCAGACGAAGTGACTTATCGTCAATAGGTTACGGTAGGAAGATAAGTCACTTCGTCTGCCTATTGACGAATTTCCCTTAAACAACTACCCCCTTGACAATTGCCCCTTTGGTGAGGTCAGCTATTGGTCTATCGAGATCAGAGGTTGACTTAAAGCGCTGAACCTTTAATTCCCTCTTCTTTAACTTATGAAGAATACTTTTCTGCTCCATCTGGGATAATGAAGATGGGCATACGCCATGCAGTTTGCTATGAGGCAAATTTTGCCTCACCCTACTCTTAGTTTGAATATCATCTGTCAAGGGGTGATTTATGTACACTGAAGATATAATATACATACCCAGCACTAAATATGGATCTCCACCACCATCGATAATCTTCTGCAGAAAGTTGAAAATAGGTCAAGGCCACCGAGATACAGGCAGTAACACTCAGCAGTATACCATATACAATAAATAAAATACCAAATAAGGTATATTGTTCTCTACCCCATAATGTTGCAAATATGTAATATAACTCAACAGAAATGGCACTGAAATTACAAGGAAAAAAATGATTTCATTCCTTAAATATGTGAACAGAAAGGAAATAAATGTTTATTCAACACCTTTTTGTAGTTATTTTAGCAGAAATTTGTCAAGTCTGTGTTTCTGCCTACTCTCCATCAAATTCAAACTGTCATGGCAGCTTTTATATTCATTACCAATTTCTGGATGGGACATTCCCATGGTAACGACAAGATGAACTTTCCAATATAAGCAAATCTGTAGTAGGTTGTTCTCAGCCAGCATTTGAAATGTGATTTAAAGTCCTACTTTTCTGCACCAACCGGGCTATAGAAGACAGGCATATTCCATACAGTATACTATGAGAGAAATTTTGCCCTGACAGCAGTGCTACGGCTTATTCCCATTTCCAATTGTCAGAGGATCATTAACATGACACCATGGTATACAACGAACTTAGTTTTTTTTATCTCATCCAAGTGATCAAACATTTTTCTATGCCAGGCACATCATGCACCACTGATGCGATGAAACCACCAGGATTGAACCCAGACCGCGAGAATCACAAGCCAGAGGAGCTATCACCAGTATCCAAGTTGAGAGTCAAGTCTGCTACCCACACAAAAAGCTATTCTGACCAATTTTGTTTTAAAATGTTAAATGGAAATGATCACTTTTCGGAAAAGCAAATACGAAACCTTCATGAACAAAGATCAACATACCTAAAAGGCAGAAAACCACCAACAACACAATGAGCAAATGCAGATCTATACCAGGGTACACTGGGAATTTCACGCTGAATATTTTTAGTTCGACATGGAGCATCAAAACTCACAGCCCAATTCTTACCAAAGATTCCTCCTATCACAGTTAGAGGATAGCCCACTGAAAAATAACACAAATATGTTACTTTATTTTAAATATATTTTAATTCTTGAATCTCTCGTTTCATTACATACATTAATTTTTTAATCTTTTAGAGGCATTTAGTGACTGGATAAAGCAATCCACAAAAACACACTTATGTAAAAAAAAACCAGCTACTTATTTATTTGGGCGACGTTTCGAAGAGTTTTCTCTCAACATTATCAAGCTAATACAGTAATACATTAATTCTGAGATCAATATATACAGAAATACAGTAATACATTAATTCTGAAATCAATATATACAGAAAAACTATAACAATAATTGATCTCAGAATTCTTATATTACTGTATTAGCTTGACAATGTTGAGAGAAAACTCTTCGAAACATCGCCCAAATAAATAAGTAGCTGTTTTTTCCATAAATATGTGTTTTTGTGTATTAATTTTTTACATAAAACCAGCTGTTTTATGTTCATTTATCTTGTTTCTGTTCTTTTATTATGTTCTTTCATTAAAATTAAGTCTTAAAACAGTTCATGATTAATCATCAGTATTAGGGCTGTGTCGATACAGTTCATTTTCTATACGATACGTATTGACGATACGGCAAACTGATACGTATCGCAATATGGTGACATCACAAATTATGCCCAAAATAGTCTCAAACTACATTCTGTTTCAAGGCTTTTGAGATGGGTAAGCATCAGGGTTTTTAATCGATTTTGAAACGAACCGGCCAGAATTGGTTCAAATGAGGTCCCATAGGAAATGGGTTAATTATAAGCTTCCATTCCCTTTAATATAACTAGACTTCAACAAAATTAATTCTTGGTAATTTGTTATGGAGAATGTCATATTCTGATGTATGTAATTACCACAAAAATAACGACAGGTACACCTGTTGAAAATTTTCCATATTTAATTCACATACCAGCTCAGGTCAGTAATATTCCAGAATAAATTACTGCCTTAGTTTATTCGATGAAATGTTCGCGTTACATAAGTCGATGATCTAAAATATTAGCATTTTTCTACTATTGCCAGTATGAGAAATTGCTTTAACCAAAATAAGATGATACGGCAACATGGCATTTCTTCATAACACAATTTGTAGTTTTTTGTCTATCATGTAACTAGTGGCGTAACTTGCAAAAGTTTTATTCATTCGTTGATAGACAAATGGCAAAATTGTCACGTGACAACCATAATTGAAATTGCTTTAAAACAAAAATTCCGTACGATTATGATATAGCCTTCAATAAAAACGACAACATTTTTAAAATAAAATATAAAATATAATAACGGTAAACACTGTTTAAAACTGGTTTATTGACCTAATTGCAACCGATATGTCACATGTCATTGTAATTTGGCATTTGAGATTCTTTCAGAAAAATATATTATTAATGACTGTTTCTTGGTGTATTCGGTGTTCTATCAGGGGATTATATTCAATAAAGATTTAAATTTACCTAACAACTGGTCAGTGAATCCATCAATGTATGATCCAGTTATTATTTTAATATCTACCAGTACCTGGAATTCATAAGGAGCGTGGAAGACGCTTGATTGGCAAACCATGCCGAGATCGTCTTCTTTTGCAAGGTGGGTTTCATGGTATTTCTTAAACGATACTGCGATACGCTATATTATGTATCGATATAAATATCGCTGGAACGTATCGATACATATTGGTGTATTGATAATCAGTATCCTATTTTTATTAACGTCAAATTTTATTATATTATTTGTGATCATTTTACATAAGTTTATTTTTTACATCCATGTATGTTGTTACCATTTTATTGTAAAGCTCTTTTGGCCAACCTTTGTAGAAATAGCGCTATATAAAAATTCTTAATAATAAAAGTAATAATTGTGTCTCTGTTCATTTATCGTGTTTCATTTCATTCATGTTTATTCATTATGTTTCTGTTCATTTATCGTGTTTCATTTCATTCATGTTTATTCATTATGTTTCTGTTCATTTATCGTCTTTATGTTCATTTACTATGTTTAAAGAGTACATAATGGTTTTCATAATACATGTACATTACAAAACTATCCATCAATCCTATTTATTGTAATTTCAGTTACTTACCGAATACCCACAAGGCCATCAATAATATCACTGTTTGCCATGGTAATGCTTGTGTTGTTCCGTAACCCCAAGCAACAGAATTAACAATAGCCCAAACAAGGAAAAATGGTACTGAAATGAAAAACAAATTATCAAAACGGATAAAATGAATAAACGCTATTTTATTCACGTCCGACAAATTAATATTTTTGTCAAATAAGGATCCAAATATTGTTATCTTAATTAAAAAGATAAAGAGCTGGCCGTTCTTGTTATAAAAGTTCAATGATAGATATGCAAACTGAATGTATTGGAAATTTCATTTAAATAACTTTATTCTGAGTGAAGTTATCACTCTTTGAAGTTTTAACAATATGTGGCATAGATAATAAATTTATTGTTGCCATTTGTTTATTTTATGTATATATATATAGTTTGTAAACTGCAAAACCCAAAATAAAAATTCATTTTAATTAAGAAGCAACTGTGTTATCAATCTGTGCCACTCAAATCATGTTCAATCTTTCCATAGTGTAAAAACGAGAGCAGGACAATTTTTTGAAAATATCGTGATATTTGTTTCCAGGCATATTGCCCAGCTCTAGTAATACTAATATATATATGCTTCATGGAGCCTATTGCTGTACTTAACAAGCTACTCAAAAGCATTCAATGTTGTAATGGTGTATGCTGTGATCCACCAAATGTTTAACGTCTACATAAAATTAAACATTACTTACAGGCAAATAATGATGATGTAAGGTTTATATTCCATACCCAGTTATCACCTCCCATCTTTTTAAACATATTAGCTGCTACATAACCACTGATACCTATGATATATTTAAACAATTAATAAAATGTTTACAGCATTACATCAAAACAAGACGCTGTCTGCCTACAATTAACTATGCTTGAGAACAGACACAAGGAAAATTGACTTTTTAATTGACAATTTGGGGGATCACGTGGCTAAGTGGGTAAGGCGCTGGCTCGCTAGCCTAGAGGTCGGATGTTCGATCCCTGCATTGGCCGAGAAAGTTCATCCCGATTTTCCGGCGTGGTTTCCCCTTGTCAGCGATGCAGGACGGAGGGCCCAACAAGGACAGATGTCTAGTCGTTTGGATGGTACGAAAAACCGAGGTCCTGTGTACACATTGGCGTGCACGTAAAAGATCCCTGGGCAGTTGGAATATGATATAAGAGTAGGCCGTAGCACGGCTGCCCGGGCAAAATTTTCCTCATAGCACACTGTATGCTTATGCCCGTCTTCATTAGCCCAGGTTAGGAGCAGAACAGTAGGACGTTAAACCCCATTTCATTTCATTTTTAATTGACAATTTAATTCATGCATGAACGATTTGAAAATATTGAGAAGTATTTATACAGCTTCCATTTACAGAAATTTAACATGCTTATTTAGTCTTGGTGTGTATGAAATATGTAAAACGAATTAGAACCACAAAACAGAATAGTATACTCAGGCCGATTAAGGCACAGGCCAACTAGGCCATGGCTTCCATCTTTTTGTGGCCCCACATAATCATTCTGTGTTTCAATAAATGCAAACTAATGCAATACATGCAATGTATACTATTCAAAAAAAGTAGGGGATATTTGATTTTTAAGTGTTATTAAAGTCACCTAATGAAACTGACGAAGAAACAAATGACAAAATGAAATGAAGTTCACATTCATCGATTTATTCCAAATGATCGTTAGACTAAGTAAGGCACAGACTGACCATTATAAGGGTAAAATGATACCCGGGGTCAAACAGCAAAGTTACCACAGCATCACAACCAAGTCAGTAACGGGTAAATCCTCCTCTGTTTGCCAAACAAGCTTTGATCCGACGTGGCATACTCCTAATGAGACGTCTAAGGTCATTTTGGTCCAGATTGACCCATTCCTGTTGCAACGCAGCAGCAAGTTCTTGGACATTGGCAGGACGTTGTTGACGTTGACGTAACCTCTGTCCAAGCATGTCCCAGACATGCTCGATGGGGGAGAGGTCGGGACTCAGTGCTGGCCAAGGTAATGTGGTGATGTTCTGTTGTTGGAGGTAACCTGTAACGATCCTGGCCCTGTGACATCTTGCGTTGTCATCCTGGAAGATGAAACGGCGGCCATGACGTCGTGCGAACGGCACAACATGGACTGCCAAGATGTTGTCCCGGTAGTACTGGCCTGTAACACGCCCTGCAACAACATGTAAAGCCGTTCTTCCAGCAACAGTGATGCCTCCCCACACCATAACAGAACCACCCCCAAATCGATCAAGTCTGATGACGTTAACGTCTTGGAAGCGCTCGTTTCGACGACGCGTCACCCTCCTACGTCTGTCCAAAAAATCAACAGTGAACCTTGACTCATCTGAAAACATCACATTGCTCCAGCGTCGATTATCCCAGTGTTGACGATCCCTACACCAACGACGTCTTGCCTGAATGTGATGATCTCTCAAACAAGGGATCGCGCGAGGACGTCGGGCGCGAAGGTGACCCCTATGCAGTCGATTCCGAATCGTCTGGCCACTCACTCTCACACCAGTGTCTGTTTGAAGACGAGCGCTGATCTGATTTGCTGTGATGACACGATTTCTCAATGCCAAGGTACGGATAAATCGATCCTGGGCTTGAGTTGTCGCCCTTGGTCGACCTGAGCGTGGTCTGTCCTGTACAGATTGTGTATCACGGTATCTGGACCATAGCCTGCTTATGACAGACTGAGAAACATTCATCGTCCGCGCCACAACCGCCTGTGTTGTGCCGATCTGTAGCATGCCAAGGGCACGTAACCTTTCATTTTGGGTAAGCCGACGCATATCAAAATTTGTTTTCTGGTCACTAAAACAATAAAACTGATGTTTCCACCCTGGAATTCAATGCCACAATGACTGTAACATTCAAAGTCAGAGTCGTGCAAATCTTGGGTTGGACCCCCATGATGATCCCAAGCATCACCTGCATTCCATGCGGTAGCTATTGGTGCGTTTGGGCGTCACATGTAACTGGAAATGTTTCTTCTGTTAGGTTCTATAGTGACTTTTTTCGTAGTCATTTGCATATTTTAGTATTATGCCCCCAAAATCAAATATCCCCTATTTTTTTTGAATAGTATATAATGTACATATACATATGCCACTGTATATTTTCTATTTGATGGATGGACGGATGTCTGTGTAATAGGCCCCATGAAATATTTTGTACCGAGATCTATTCTTAAAGTAGATAGTTCTCCGTGTGTACAATGGGTCATTTCAGGACTAACATATTATTTCCATTCGAACAACTAGACATGTACCGTTCCTAGGCCATTCGTCCTGCATCATGCTGACAAGCCGACACCAGGAACTTCTGAGCCAACACTGTGATTGAACATGTGACCTCCTGGTTAGTGTGCCAGGACCGTACAAACCGTGCCCCCCCCTCCACCCCATTTTTGACATAAGAGAGAGAGAGAGAAATGGGGTTTAACGTCCAATCGACACAAACTAGGTCATTTCGGGACTAACACATGGTTCAATTTTATTTCAATCATTCGCTTGCACGTAGGGGACTTTAGCAGTGGGAGGAAACTGGAGGACCCGGAGAAAACCCACGAGGTTGTACAGGCGACCCTACTCCTTGTCACGTACAACCGGGGAATCGAAACCCTGCCAGTTGATTCAATGACAGACCGTATGATACAGCGCGCGCGTGCTAACCATTCGATCATCCAACCCCCCGTTTTGGACATAAACTTAAGTAAATATCAAGTAGGTACTTACATGAAGTAAAAGCGTAGAGCACGATACCAGCTGAATTAATAGCACCATGACGATGTACATTAAACATTCCTAACATAGCCATTAATAATATTCCTGTAGCTAATGCTAAAAACTGACTTCCAACACCTGAAATTCAAATCAGCCTTAAAATAAAAATCACCATACTCAGAGGTGTCATTCAAAATATATTTTACACCATATGAAAAAAATATTCTGATTCTCATGAATTATTGCTCTTTCATATTTTGCAGGCCCAATTACTGGATAAACCTGGTTAACGTTTTCATACCGTTAATGAATGTACCAAGTGTGAAATGAATGCTCTTTGAGCCAGAAGTGAAGATGATGTCCCCCGTCCCCCGTCACCCACCCATCCAACACTTATCAATAACTTCTCGACCACTAATTCATAGGATCAACATCTTGTTGAGCCATAGTCCTGCACGCCTGTGGTTTGCTCAAAAGATTATTAATATGGCCAGTCATCATTACCGCATGTAAATACCATGTTCACAACATGAAATGAAGCATGCTCGAAACATTTTGTTTTTTTTTAATAACCATGGAAATTAAAAATTATTAGCATCTGGTAAGTGTTTATATATGGTTGGCATTCAATGTCATCACTGTACAGTTGGGAAGGTTCTTGAAATTGACAACATATGGAAATGTACATCTTGTTGATTTATTAAAAGCTAATAAAAGAGAATTGAATATAACAACTTACCTAATATGGCACAGAAGACATTTTTACCAGGTGGAAATCTAAATACATCTGTATGTATTATCTTCCAGCCATTATCTTCCTGATCTAAATCATCATTTTCATCATCATCTAAATTATATCTAGCAAAATCACTCTTCAATACACGAGTCTATATAAAAAATCATAGTTAATAAAGAATTAAAAACAATGTAAAATAATCTCCTTTTAAATCATTGCATTGTAGTGTCTTACTATCATGCATATAGGTCACATCAGGCAAGGTATTGCTACTTTATGTCTAAATAAACATGTTGAGGTACTTCATTACTGTTATCGCTCACATTTTTTCATATAAATTTTTTTTTATGGCTCTGGACCCTGTTTCACGAAATCTTAACTAAAGATAAAATCCAAATTTTAGTAGATACTTCAATTGTTTTTGGCTAAGCACTAAAATCAATCTAATATTATCCAATCAAATCACTAAAATTTGGATTTTATCTTATCTTAGTTAAAATTTCGTGACGCAGGCCCCTGGTTAATCTTACTCTAATTTGTAACTGATTGGTTGATAAACATTTGTTACTTGATACAGAAAATGCTGTTCAGTCATGTAAGACGTGTGTAAACATTTATAAGAGCGTGGTATCCAAGACAGTAGATGGTTAAACAATAAAATGTAATATTATAACATACCATGATAATAACAACAAAACCAATCAAGAGGAAAACTAGAACCATAGAATTTATAATTGATAACCAGTGAATCTACAAATATAAAACAATGAATGAATGAACTAAAAAAAAAAAAAAAAATTGCCAACAGTTTCACGGTGGAACACAGTGAATTGCTTGCTTGTCAATATCGTCCCGAACTAGCATGTTAAAGTAATGTGTACTTTATTTAAGTTGAATACAAGTATGTTAATCTTGAGGGAGGGTCAAACTAATATTGTCTACAATAAATTGAAAACGTGTATATGTATAATGTACAGGTCGGTTTGAATAATAACCCAAAGTTCCCCGACAATCTATATCGGTTAAAATTTTGAACGTACATGTATTACATTGGGCTATACATGTATGCGAACAGTAAACAACTTACAATTTCTTAAACATATCATTTGGTTTTCGTATATAACTTCCACATCGTGACAAGTAGATTTAATCCATTAATCATTGGCTATCAAATCCAAATTTTAAATTACATACGATGGGCTTTTACACATTACTTCATTACCCACAGATTCAGGTAATCTAAATTAACAATCTGTAAAGCACAGTGCATTACAATATAAATCCATCCGCAATGCGTAAATCGGTGAGCCACATGGTCAAAAAATGCGGCAAAAGATTGAGTTGTTAGTCTCAACATGGGACTATATTCTAATGCTGTGATACTTCGCAAAAATCTTGACCATTACCGTTATAAGACAATAATGTATTACGACGTATGACGCAATAAGAGTTGTACAAAAAAAGTTTATACACAAGTTTTGTGATTGATACCGACGAATAAATGCGCATACATATTTTAAAATTGGTATGAGTACAAAGTATTGGCAAATGTTCTTTGATTCTAATTACTCCGATTTACATCATACAAAACAATCGCTAACGCTTCTCAACTGCCAAGCTAACAAAGGATTTTGATACATCTGCAGGAAGCCATTTCACTCTATAAGACTGACCAATTAAGTTAATTAATACAATGTGCTTTATTAATTAAAAATAGATAAATTAAATACGATGGGCTTTAAAATAATACTACATTACACTCTTCATTTAAATAAACAATTCACATTTCCATGTATCATAAATCACGGGGACCGATACTGCACGTTCCAAATTAATCAAGAGTAAATATAATTAAACATAAACTTTATAATTTCATAATTTGTCTCCAATATTAGGGCTTGGTCACCTTTCACGAATACATCCAAATGTTTTATTATTTAAAATGAATAAATTAAATAAGTTGGGTTTTAACATAATACTAAATTACAGTCTTCATTCAAATATTCCATGCATAATAAATCATATGTCACGGTGTCATATTACCCGCCTAATCTAGCCAATGAATCAACTCTGTGACTATATGTATATTCTTACGCTATTGTTCTTTGCAAATATATTTTTTGAATGTGTAATCATTAGATTGTATTTGAGTTAGTCTCTAAAATAAAATAAGGTCACAAAGGCATGCAGATTTACTGTGTTGTGTGTCATATATATTCTACAAATTTGGGGACTTATTTGATATGTATTCATTCGCCCAGTGAACAGGTTTTATACTAGTAGAATTTCACAATCACATAATGTGGTGCATTACTTCTTGAATATAAACGAATATAGACTTCCTTAATTTCAGCAAAACAGGTACATTGTACATGGTACATTGTTGTTTGTGTGTTCATGTAGATCTATTGCTGATTATAAAATATTCAAATGCTCCTTCAGTGGAAATGTTCTAAGTTGCTCCTTTACGTAGGAAAGTAAAACTTACAAATGCCGTAAAAGTCCTTCACAGTCATCGGAAAATACAAATAAGTGAAATGCTTCGAGAAACAAATCTAATGAAATGTTAGCAATTCCCTAGCGTGAATAATGTCCAGCACGAAAATTTGGCCATCGATAAATAAAACATTTTGTAATACTTCAAGACAACAACGCTACTGTATAAAAGCCAGCGGGAAAAGTTGATGAAAGGCTCACAAATTCCTTGCGCGAAGCATGGTGGATTCCTAATGAAACACAGTGGATTCTAAGCGAATCTCAGTGAAAAATCTTTGGGACGAATTGTATGTATGTGTTTTTTGCTTTTAATGCACAAGTGGTTCTAATTTTACAATAGTAATATTAAATAGAAAAAATTTACCTCCAATGTTTTAGGGAAGAAACTGTTATCACGAAGTCGTTTACTTCTATCTTCAAACTTCATACTAAAAATAAACACACAGTAATGCAATAGAATGAACTGATCCTTAAAATGGCTTTGTGACTTCACCTTCATTTCCCCCCAATAACATACTGTAACAATTATATTTTTGATACTATTTTTTTTATAATTTAACCTTGCACAACCCAACAATCACCAATTTACAGCTTGCTAATCTGTTATACCGGGATAAAAAGGAAGAAATGTGGGTTTAATGCTCCTAGACACACATCAGGTCATTTCGGGACTAATATCAGTTCTAATTTTATTTCAATAATTTGCTTGTGCGTAGTTTATTTTAGATGTTTGGAGAACTTGAATACATGGATAGACATACAAACCTACTCCTTATAAAGTCTATGGGGGGTGTTGGATGGCTGAATGGTTAGCGTGCGCGCGCTGTATCATAAAGTCTGTCATTGAGTCGACTATCATGGTTTCGAATCCCAGGTTGTACGTGACAAGGAGTAGGGTCGCTTGTCCAACCCCGTGGGTTTTCTCCGGGTCCTCCGGTTTCCTCCCACTGCTTAAGACCCCCACTCGCAATCGAATTATTGAAATAAAATTAAACCATATGTTAGTCCCGAAATGACCTAGTTAAACCCCATTTCTCTCTCTCTCTCTCTCTTTATAAAGTCTATGTACAAGCATGGAATAAAATTCATGATTGTATCATAATAACCTTAGACATTAAGATTATGTTATAATGAATGGAAGACGGTACACATATATACGTTTGATGATAAATAAAGACTTACTTTGATTGGTACCATTTAACACTGTAGGTAAAAGCTACTTCAAACGGTGTTGGTACCGCGTCTATACTCACTGGACTAATTTCCTTAGTTGTTACATTTGCATAAATTATCTACAAAATACATCAAATACACCTCAAAAAGCAAGGTTCATAATCAGTCTATTATTGCCAATCTATGCCTCATAAACCAGTCATTCATTTTGCATACCAAGAAATACAAATATCTAACTGGAATTACAATGTCGGCATTCTGGTTTTCAATACCACTCATAGATGCAACACCTTTCAAATGGGAACCGGAATTGAAAGATTCTTTTTGCGGACCATGGAGAGATTTGGTACCCTTGACATTCTACCACAAGAGAGACAAAGAGAGTTTCATCATGGCTCCCTCTGGTACAAAAGAAACTAAAATCAGGCACTTATGTTTAATTAATGACTAACTTACATGGTCACCATTATATTCTATGTTAAAATGTAGATGTGCCCATAGATAGATTTTATGACTGTGAGGTAAAAATCCTCCTTCCTCTAAATGTCCAATAAAACCACGGATTGGAATTTCATCTGTAATAATAATCAATAAATAAACATTAGATCTTATGTGGAAAATTAATACAAATGATGTGGTTTTACAGGAAACCATTCCTTGATCATTATTCATCAAGAAGTCACAAACGAAAACATGTTTTAAAAGTTTTCAAAATTTAATGTTTAAATTTGGGTCCAGGAAACAAAATTAATTTGTTTCACTTCTGCTTTACGCGATGAATGTCATGAAAGTATTGGTCATGATACTTTTTTTACTGTTCACATGATGGCAGTTCTACAACAAATCTAAATGATGAGAAACAATTTCTGTATATAACTAAGGTGCTTCCATTTACAAGTATACATCAGGTTTGAAAAATCTAGGTACTCTTTGTATTCATGGTTCTTACCACAAAACTATCACATTGACCAAACTTGTCGTGCAACAGAAGGATCAGAGATTTCAAGAAATTATAAACTAATACTCACCAATAACAAACTCAAAGTAATAAAGATCTTCTATAGCATTCCGCAGCAATGAGAGGTCACTTTCAGAATAATGAACCTTACACAATACTTTCTTGTCTTCTTCTTCTGTTTAAAAGAAAATTAAAATAATATTACTTGTTGAAAAAATCCTTATTTACATGTCTACGATATTTGAAGTAATAATCTCATGAAAAAATATCCTTTGAGCTTTACTACTAATCTTGAATGATTAGAAGCTGTACCATTTTTTCAGCATTCCAGTCGCTATTTATTGCCCCGTCCCACTGCAAAAAACACTGATTAATATGTTTCTGCTCCTCCATAAGCCGATTCTTCTCTTAAACAAATAGTTTGAGCAATGTTGAAATATATGTACATTATTCTAGGTTTATTTCCTGCACTACAACAGTGATCAAAGAACTCGCCCATCAAAGATTTATCACTTTAATTAAATATGCATTATGCAAGAGGCAAATCTGCCTATTGCAAATTTGTCTATTGCAAATCTGCCTATTGCAAATCTGCCTATTGCAAGTCTTTCTTTAGGTCTGAAAAGTTTTATAAATTATTAATTAGACATTTATTAACATGAAAAGACTACAATCAACTCGCCATATTATCTGTCCGATTTTCATTGGATATGAATCCAATCTTCTGTGCAATGCCTGTTGACAATTAAACGCAAAAATGGATAATCGAGACTTTGTTAATTATCGTGCCACCGGTAACAATGACAATTGAGGCTACAGAGATTTTAAAATAAGGTTTTCTTGGCTTAGAGTGAAGCAATTTAACTGAAATTTTCAGAATAATTGAGCATAATCCATTCATATCATCTATTTTTTAACTATTATAGTGAGAACTGCCAGCTCTTTATCTAATCCTCCATAATGTATCTTTAATAAGGGATGCTTCAACAAATATCTCCTAGCCTTGTTGAACCAACCATTTGTTTGTTCGTTCCTGGAGTTTTACGTCCACTACCACCAAGGATGATATCGTAGACAACTAAACCAACCAGGCTTATGAAGACAGACATACATGTACACTATGATGTGTGCTATGCAGTAAATTTTCCCTGGACAGCTGCATTTCCACCTATTGTTTGTCAAATTTACACTGCCAAGGTTTCTTTTATGTGCACGACAACCATCTACACGACCTATACCCACATCAGTACAGTCAAAAAAATTGTTGTCCTCAGATTATAGATAACTTTAGTTTGTAGACCATCCACAACTTATTTCAGCTTAACAAAGGGCAATAATATCAAAAATTCTTGTAAATTCATAAGATTCCATGTCAGTCAAAACAATAACTTTAGCTGCTAGAGATTCCACAAGATTTTTCAAAGTGATCCAAAGACAATAACTTTGCAACTGCTTATATAAGAAATCATTGTCATTTAAAATGCTTGTCTGATGCATGGCCATAAATAATGTCTATTAATTATAAAAAATAATCAATGGGGAACTGTGATGATAATTTTATTTACATTTCAATTTTGGCATATAAAAAAGCACCCAAAACTTTATAAAACGGGCATTAATACTTTTGTCTCCATCACTACAGCCACAGAAATGAAATGAGAGTTTAACTTCCTACTGTTCTGCTCTGACTGGGTTAATGAAGGCGGCTGCATACGTCTTTTGTCAGTGCATAGCAGAATATTGCAGAAAAACTAATTGCGTGACAAACGAGGCTATCAAAATGGCTACAATACCCTTTGGAGACGAACAGTACTTTCGTCGTGTTTAATACTGTAAATCACTGTCCAAAGTTTTAGGGAAGACCTCAGATTAAACGAAGGGCTGTCATTTTGCTGTACTTACATTGTAGGAGAGATTTGATTGAATGGGAAGAAAAGACACACTCCCTCAATCAAATGCTCAAGTATCAGAAGTCAATCCAGCAATGGCCACAGAGGGATTTCTCGGGCCATTGCTTCAGGAATATGGTAAACGCTTGTGCAAAATGTATTACTCTATAAAGCGGTGGACACACTAGCCGAATCAATCAGCGTGAAAATTCGCCTAGTGTGTCCACTGTCATTCAGCCGAATGATTCACCCGAATCAAACAAATTTGATATAAAAATCTGACCGAATCATATTCGCCTGGTGTGTCCGCTTCGCCGAAGCATTCACCCGATTTTAGAATTCGTTAGCCAATCACCACTAATGTCGAGGGTCACATGATTGTCTGGAGACAAAATGGCGACTATCATCGAGACTTGGAATTCCGCAAAAGAATCGGAACTTATTACTTTATGGGAGCGTAGGGTTTGTCTATATGATACCTCCCTGCCAGATTATAGAGATCGTACAATCTTTCGACGCTGTCGAATACAGCATAAAATTTAAAAAATTCCCAACGCTGCAGCTATTTTCCTCTTTTTCTTGGTCGCAGCCATGTTTAATCATGTGACTTGTCACGTGAAAGATGATAAAATCGATTGGTGAATCGGGCGAATATAATATTGAATATAATATGATATTAGGGTTTTATTTTGAGCATTTGAGTTTTTTTTACAAATATATTAGGGGTTATTTTGAATAAGATATTAGGGGTTATTTTGAATATGATATTAGGGGATATTCGGAATATGATAATTGGGGTTACTCAGAATATGATATTTGAGGTTTTATTGAATATGATATTAGGGGTAATCTGAATAAAATATTAGGAGATTATTGAATACGATAATAGGTGTTGATTTGAATACGATATTAGGAGTTGATTCAAATACGAATGCCTTTTCAAAAGTTGTTTAGTATCCGATGTGCTTAACAATAAGGACAACAAATTGATTTTTATCTAAACTTACTCTTAAATTTGATTTCATATAAAGACTTGGCCATTCTATCACCATCCAATACTTCACCTAATGTTAAACTTTTATGTTCTATCTGAAAATAGATTACAAAATCAAATATCAACAAAATTCATGGGAAAGTGCTAATGACACACACCAAATGTTACCTGTTACTATAAAATAAACTGGAATTTTCTAAAGTCGAAAAATAAAATATAAAAGATCTGTTCCTAATTCATAGCCAGGGATGAATTTTCAAAATATGGAAACACTTTCTGTGGGCACCCAAACGGTCATTATGATCAATGTGACGTAGAATAGTATTTTAGACTTACTTGTTTAGGTCGACATACTGGAAGTTGATAATAATGATACGTTTCATGAGGATTGAAATATGGTCCAACTTTATTCACGTATAATAAAACCTGAAAATATCCAATAAAATTAAACAATTAGCTTTGAATTCATTACATATACATTCCTGAAGGCAATAGTAAAGGGCTGTATCAATGGAAAAACCATTGCTCTATCTATTATGATCGAAGTGATTTTATATTTTATGTTTATTATATGAGTGACATACATGTATATTTGCATTTGCAGTTCTTTTTAGCACTATTAACAGATCAAAAATTGACCAATTTTATTGTAATCTGAAACATAAATATTGTAGACTTGATCATTCTCATCTATATTGTTTCCACTTCAAATACTACAATGAATATAGTCTGGACAAACTAGTCGTCTTGGTGAACAATTGATAAATCATTGGTATCGTACATTGTACACTAAATCATTAATATTTTATGAAGTTCCGGTTAATAAAATCTTTGTAGTCTCTACCAGTTCACCCTATTTAACATTAACATAATTATATAAATCAAATTAAGTACATTGTTTTTAATTTAATGTGACAATATTGGTACACTAGTTGCTAGAGAGATATGGTAAAATTGGCATGCCAGAGATCTGTGGTGATACCACAGGCTAGAGATATCTGGCAATATTAGCATGCTAGAGATATGCGGCAATATCAGCAGGCTAGAGATCTGTGGAGATATGAGCATGCTAGAGATCTATGGCGATATGAGCATGCTAGAGATCTATGGCGATATTAGCATGCTAGAGATCTATGTCAATACTGGTACGCTAGAGACATCTGGCGGTATTGCCATTCTAATAGTTTTTGACTCAGCAGATGGTGGCAAAAAAAAAAGCCTAGTATGAAAAATGCACTTTATTACTTTATGATTCACAACTACTTTAATCAGAATTAATTAAAAATACCCGGCCCAATACACAACTTTCGCTTACTTGCAAATATTGTCACAAGTTAAGTTAATCAAGCAGTATCTTAAACCGACTTGGAACGTCCATTTCGTACAGCTTTACGACTTTCAAATTTTCCCTTTTTGCGCAGTTTGATTGGCTATTGTTGATGTCATATATTTAGTCCTGTCTTCTTGACGTTCAGACATCACAGACCTCTCCCGGTTTAATGCTTCAATTTAAAAGAGATGATTTGTACCCATGCCAGGTAGCTTTATATACGTAATTGTAGTTTGGTGTGTCAGAAATGTAATAAATAACAATAATCAATCTTTGTTTTGAAGATAAAATTGAGAGTTTGTCGTAGTGACTGATTCACAGCTGCATCTGCCAGAAAGAACCATCCCTTACCTCGAGGCACGCAAGGTTGAAAGATGAGGTTTCTTATCTATGCGGAGCCATGCAACCTCTACCACCTAAACTGTATTGCGGTGAACATTTACCACAGTAATTTAGTAAACCTATCACTGCACAAATTAATTAGATCTATATTATTTTTATATTTTATACGATTAATAAAATAAATCATTATCGCCACAGCACTATTCCATCTATTATGTTGTTTCTAATTCATTTTACGTGGACAGATGAGTAAAATATTTTTTAAGTCACGTATATAGCCATCTTTGCAAGTCATAGAGCTACTGCTACTTAGACCGATTTTATTAAAACTCATATTTGACATTTTTATGTGCATTCGGGTTTGTGTTGTCAAAAAATTAAAATAAAAAATAGATGGATTTGTCGGCACCATGGTTAAGAGGTCCATTGTGTGGACAAAAAATAATAATTCAGCGAAATTTTTAATGCATACTTTAGAAAAATGTCTAATTATTCCAAATAAATTGATTTATACCTCATCGCCCTCTTTATACGTGGCAGAATTTACAAAATTCAATGTTACTGCCAACACAACAACTTTCAGGAACGTCGCCATGTTTGTGTACACGTTAACAACGTGATTCTGCGAGATGTGAAGAGAAAAAAAAAGTAAATTAATTTTGCGAATATTTCTCAGCAGTTGACTAAATACACTGAGGGGGTTTTCTGTAAATGAAAAATAATTCGTCCATAATATCGTGGGGCACCTGTCGGGTCGGCGTAGGTCACATGCTAATCTCCGGCGCACTACATTCGAGGATCATCTGTGAATGTCTTAATACGCGTATATTCAGTACCGCCCACTTAGAAAATAAATTGTGTCATTTATGATTCTTACTAAGACAGCTTTAAATAATTGCATCTATTTGTGTTATTCTTGTGAAAAAATTAACAACAGATTTTAATCAGAAATATAATCCCACAATTGTTGTACTACTTTCTGCGGAGACACAAACAAGGGGTATTTACATACGTGAAGCGGTGGCTAATCCTCTTAGGATCTGCGAGAGAGATAAGTTGGGGCGGTTTTGTCAAACAAATTGCATACAGAGAGCATCGTTATCGAAATGTTTTTTATTTATCTGCAATTAAGAAAACATGGATGACAAGTTAGGAACAGGGCTATACACAGGAGCAGTGTTTTTAACGATTAGGAAGAACGAAGTGGAACGATAATCCAGCCTCAACTCGGGACTTATGTTTGAGTTAAGGTCTTTGTGTCTTAAAGCGAATTAACTGTTATATTGATAAATTAGGTACGGCCACATCACGGAGGAAAATGGATTTTAACGCCGCACTGGAGACATTTGCGGAGGCTTGGGTGGTAGCAAACACTCCAACAGCAGTATCGAACCCCGAAAAACAGGTATGTTTGAAATATTGTATTATTTTTACGCATGGATGTGATTTTTTAAGTGTGTGCATGTTTGATCCAATGTTGACCCATTTAGCTGTGTGTGAGTGATGGAGTTAGCGGGCTATTGTCTGTCTATCAAGTCATCAACTCAGTTCACGAGGCGGGTTTAATTAACAGGGCAATCAAGTCGAGATTAACATAGGATTGGACGGAGGAAGGAAAAACTTGAACCAGTTCAAAATAACAGATAGCGGTTCGGCTTAGATAATTTTGTCGTCTGCTATAACCGCATTTAGGACAGATAAGTGAAGTGAAGACGTGCATCGTATATTTGATTATATATTTTAAATTAATTAGATATAGAATAGATACCCCCCCCCCTCCTCCAATATTTTTTTTAAGTGCCTTCTAAGTTTATGAACTTGTTACAAATATTATTTTGTACAAATAATGACTAATATATTGGTAGCAATGATGTTTAAATTTAAGATCTTCTATTACATTAGTGCATTCTTTTACATTTTCTTCAAATAAACATATATATTCAACTCTTATGAAATTTGTGAAATTGCAATGCAAACGGTTAGAATGCATGTACAATTTAGAATTTTGGCTAAACATATCGTTCAGATCAATTTGACTTTATACTTATAATTTTACTAATGAAAGTGCGTTCTGATGTCCAATAACATGCATTTGGCTATTTGCAAATATTGACCAATATAGTAGTATGATGCCCAGTGATAACCTTTACTAGAGTATATTAAAACAAAGTATACAATAGTATCTTTTGTGTATTTATTACTAGAACAATTGATTATTGTATTGTTTTTATGTATATTACCATGGTATATTGGTTTATATTGCCCGAGGGTATATCATTTTCTCCTGGTCTCTCCTGTCACATTCTTGTATTATAATTGTCGCTGGCTTACATTTAACAGTGAAAGTTATAATATTATCACAACTACTTATACTGTTATTTTCTACACTCACTAAAACATTTTACCATTCTATCAATTTACTGTTTGTGATATTTAGAAGACTTTTATTGCAAAAATAGCAATAGAATGGAGATATTAAATTTGAATAATTATTTCCCAGATACCTAGCTCTCATTTGTGTCATACCACCAGCTCAGAACTTTCCAATCAATCTAATTTTAGATGCCATGGAATTACATGTACCAGTACATGTAGATACACGTATCATTGAATATGGACCTGTGTTCTTTTATCATTTGTTTTGTTTGAATTTTGTTGTGCCCTGTGCAGTTATCCTGTCTTTTAAAAGGATTAGGTAAGCCAGGTTTACACAATTCCATACAATGTATACATTGTACCTTTTTAAAAACTACCACACCCATTGTGGATTTGGAATGTATTCTCAGCCAATTAATCTCTTGTAATTTAGCCTTTTCCTTGTGCATTAGAAAGTTGTGTGATGGCAGCGATACTGATATTGACTTACAGTGCATAAGACAAAAGATTTTATTTTGTGGGTATATGAACTTTTATCAACTTGAAGGAATTAAAACTGATCTGATAAGATATTTGTTTTGATATATATTTATCATATACATATACATGTAGATAGATGAAGAACTTTTAAAAATCTGATAAATGTATAGTGACCTCAATTACATGGTTAATGAATTTATCAATAATAACATGAAGAAATTAAAACCTTTTCAATGAAATAAGAAATACACATTCATCATACTATGTACAGTACATAGGCCACCAGCCTTAATCAGTAATGATACACATGTACATGTTATATGATCATCAGTTAATCCAGAATTCTTGATGAATTTCTAAAAGACAATCATCAAATTAATATTTGTTGGCCATACATGAAATATTATGTACATAGGAAATATACATGTACATAGAAGTGTATCCATAACTTTAGAAGACTTATAAGATGTTGTTAAGCCAAATCGATCAATAATTTCTTAAAGGAATTAAAACTTGTATTATAGTTGGTAACAGGTTGAGAGTTAATCAGTTTTAGATTAAAGATTTTATGCACTCTTATTATCAGTGGTGTAGTGTCTATTCAATGTTATCGATAATTCTCTGTAACAGGTGAAAACATACTAGTCTTGTGTTGTCCAGTCATATTTGGTATATTTTTCTTATATTGTCCAATTTGGCAGTAAAAATATTCTTATATATGTATGTAAATTTTTATTAAAGGGACACAGTCACTATTAAATTGACCATCAGATCTGATTGGTAAATTTCGTTTTCAATTTGACAATATTTTGCTGTGTACAGTTAAAATTCTATCTTTATTACGTTTCGCTACATGTACATGTAAGCTCTAATTTAGAATGGCTGCCACCAGACTGCAGCGAGTTTGGAAAATCCCTAAGATGAATAACCATTAAAGTTCACGAGTTGGACATCTCAGAAACTTTTCTTCATTTAGAAGTCATACTGTATATTACTATAGTGAATTGTCTCTTTAATGTTATGAATTAGTTACTCATTGATGATTTAGTGATTGTTATAACTCAACTTAGAGATATATTAAAGACCAGTAGCACCTGTTTCCAGGCTAGAGACCTCTAGATTATTGTTCTTGGTATTAACTTTTTATCCTTTAATACACCACATGTTGAAATTATTACAAAATATTGATCCTAGACAGAGCTTGGTCCGTTAATATTATTTTCATGCACACACTATTTACTATAACTACTGTAACGTCTGTTAGAATTATCATATATTTTTATTATATTATATCAATGCTCTTATTTCGCTCGATTTGGCCAGTGAATGTCGGACTGAGAAATATATTTTTGACAGACAAATTATATGGAACTAGACCCTTGTCTAGAATGTCATGTTTTAATCCAGTCATGGACCCAGAAGAACTTTGACAGGATATTTTACATGTACAAGTGCTGCCTAGTCATTTTAGATGGTCTGGATAAATAATTATCCTAGCTTCTAGTATAATGTAAAACGTCTTGAATTGGTTTAAACATAGCATTTTATAATAAGCATTTTTTTTTAATGGGTTCAAACATTTACCAGTTGGAAATCGAACTGGAGGATGAGATTCAGAAACAGCCTTACTGAGGAGAATGGAGCTTTCAAATTCTGATCAGATGTTGTACCCACTGCATGATACTTCTATGTTATGTAACAGATCCATTACACCTGTTACAGTGTCCTTACAAATCTACCTGTAAATAATGTTGGTTGTATAGATCATTGATTAGTTTACTTTATTATTAACTGTAGAAAACTCAAATTAACATAGAGTTGCATGATCAAATTGATTTAATTAATACATGTAGGCCCTACATGTTTATTACATACTTGTACATATACATTTACGTATACATGTACCACAATTGGTGTCTTAGTTTGATTTGACTTAACAGTGGTACATGTACATATACTGTACCTGCACTCAAAAGTCTTACATGTAAGTCTTTTGATTAATAATAATAAGTAAAAAAGCAGTTGTGTTATTGAAAAGCTCTCTAGTAGAGAGTTTCATCAAGACAGTGACATAACAACAATCTGATAAAAATAAAGATCTATATTTCGTTTCGTTTTTATACTTTCTATGGTCTACACTACATGAAGATCTGACAAATTGTAGCTACATGTATAGGTCGCGTCAGAGGTCATACAAGCGCCCTTTGACCCTATGATGTCAGACATTTGATTAACCAATCAGCATTGATGTTTCTAATGGATGACCCACAGTTCCGTTCTAAACACGCCTAAAGCTTGCCGTAAGAGACTGGTTCATTGGCTAATCCCTAACACCATCCGGAACACGTCAATGATAACAACTCTTCCAAGATCCTATAGTGTTGTAGAAACAAGTAAAACAAAATTTTGAACTATAAAAAACGAAACGAAATAGGATCTGTGTTTTAATCAGATTGACATACATGTAACAAGTGAAAAACCATGATAAATTAAATCTCGGCTTTTATAAATATGGTGCCATAATATGAAAACAAGCAATTGATACTTTTTTGATCCAGTTCCGTGTGCAAGGGACCCAGCCAAACGAGGTACATGTACCAAGCCAGATCAGAACACCAAATCTATGTTACAGTGACAAAAGAAACCAGGGTGCCTTAACTTATCATTACATACAGAAATCAAACCATGCAATGGTTACAATGCTTTCTATTGATTCCACACTGCCATCTTTGTGTGTCTTAGACAATTTTTTGTCCATTCCAGCCCATTCTTCATGAATTTTTTACATGTAAAGATTGATCTGGCTTTGTCTGTCTTTAATAAACAACTATTTTCCTTTATATTAATAAGATTAATTCTAAACAATTTTGGTAAATGTACAAATAGACAAAAAGAGGTTTATTTAAAAATAAATATTCTCTCCAAAATAATTTCAAAATGTTGGTCTTGGATCAGAACTATGCTTATACATGTACAGTACCGGTAAGGGTTAAAATCAAAATTTCCTTGTAAAACTGGAAAGGTGTATATTATGTTTACATGTTTGTACCGCTTTTTGTGGGTACTGTATTTTTTGTTAAAATATCGGTTGAAGGAGGACTGTAATAGTCAATATAAAATACACAGAAATTTTAGTGTTTTTGTGATGTGGATGGATAACCATAATCCAGTCTCAAGAGATAAGATAAATCCTTTTTATTTAATCCCCTTATATTAGCTCTTTATAATGTGATAGGTATTGTCTGTCACTGATAGCTTGAAGGTATTAACTGTCATAATCCATATTGTGGTGTTAATAGGGATAATTCATCTTCTGGTGAAGTGTACACCCAGGGGGTATCACAAAAATTATGAAAGTTTAACAAATATCAATGGCTTAAATACATATATTAGAAAAATATGTACAGCCTCCACTGTTGTTATGAATTGGCAGTGGCAAGTGACATACAAGAGACATGTACATGTATTAAGGAATTAATTTGCGGACATTTTGTGTTAAGTATTTTCATCAAGTATGATTGGTCTGTCGTTACTCTATGCATATACATG